ACACTAACAGAATCCCTATTCTGTCCCGGTCACCCACCCTCAGGTGGACGCATTCAAAATTTGTGGTCTGCGGGATGGGACTCCTGGTCAGATGGATGGAATCTCTATAGACCACTGCGACCCCGCCTCCCCATCCTCCGGATCTCGGTTGGTGCTGTACGGAGAAACCTGGAGGACAAAGCTGGGTGAGATTCACGCCTCCAGCTTCATCCAACCAGGTCTCCGTGATGCACGCCAGATCTGCCCGCTCATCCAGGATTAGATCCTGGATAAAGGTCATTTTTCCGTTGACAGATCTGGCGTTCAACAGCACCACCTTCAGTCCGGAGGGCCCGCCAACCTGGTTACACCAATTTACCATAGGAGACCGGTTTGGGATTATTAATGTAGATAAGCGGTCCGAATTAGGCCGAATTTGAGGTCTCCTTTTTCCGCATCTCCCCCTCCCCACCACGACCTCTATGGGGGCCCCTCGGCTAGTGGAACACCTCCCCTCCTCCATACCGCAGTCCAGATCCAAGGTCTTAATTTCTGTTTCGTTAGTAGTTGTTTGGTTTGTTGGCGTTTTTTCTTGCCAACTCCCTTGATTCCCTTTCTCCCCCCTCCCCACCTCATTGTTACCCACGGACTCCAGCGGTGGAGGTTGAAAACATAGTGTTTGGGCTGCCTCTATGACTTCGCTATAAGTCTTTTGGTGGAGCGCGGACCCGTTCTGTTTCTTCCGCCACTCGCACACTAGTCTCCTTCCCTTCTGTTTCATTGCTAATAGCTCCTTGGAGAACCAAGGGGCTAATTTAGCTCCACATCTGGGAAGGGGATGCTTTGGAACCAATTTATGTCACAGTTACAAACAGATGTGGCACTTGCAGAGGTGGCAGCATGATTTAGCTCTAATCATGCGTTTTATTGAGACAAATCACAGTGACTTTATGAGAAGTGGCACCTTTAAACTCCTTGTTCTGTTAGGAATGCCTTCTGAAGGAGTTAACATAGATAAAGGGGATTTCATTACAGTTGTGTTATTCTTCAGCTTAGCAATTTACACTAATTCTCCAGATACATACATATGGGTGTGGTTTTCATCCATTGCTGGAAAAAACTATTTTATTTGTGTGTCACACATTTGTATAATCTTTTATTGCAATTTAGGAGGTAGCATGGTATAGTAGTTTGCATATTTTATGAGATTGCCAATGCCACTGTGTTAGTTTTTTTCAGGAGCATATTCACGTGCTACAAAGCTAGTGTCGTCTTGAGGAGAGTGAGCAGGCCGAAGCCTATCAGTCAGTGGGCCAAAGCTAGTGTCATCCTGAGGAGAGTGAGTAGGCCGAAGCCTATCAGAGTCCATGGGTCAAAGCTAGTGTCGCACTGAGGAGAGTGAGCAGGCCGAAGCTCACTCTCAGAGTCAGTGGGCCAAAGCTAGTGTTGTCCTGAGGAGAGTGGGCAGGCCGAAGCCTGTCAGAGTCAGTGGGCCAAAGCTAGTGTCATCCTGAGGAGAGTGAGTAGGCCGAAGCCTGTCAGAGTCCATGGGTCAAAGCTAGTGTCATCCTGAGGAGAGTGAACAGGCCGAAGCCTGTCAGAGTCAGTGGGCCAAAGCTAGTGTCATCCTGAGGAGAGTGAGTAGGCCGAAGCCTGTCAGAGTCCATGGGTCAAAGCTAGTGTCGTCCTGAGGAGAGTGAGCAGGCCGAAGCCTGTCAGAGTCAGTGGGCCAAAGCTAGTGTCATCCTGAGGAGAGTGAGTAGGCCAAAGCCTGTCAGAGTCCATGGGTCAAAGCTAGTGTCGCCCTGAGGAGAGTGAGCAGGCCGAAGCTCACTCTCAGAGTCAGTGGGCCAAAGCTAGTGTCATCCTGAGGAGAGAGAGTGAGTAGGCCAAAGCCTGTCAGAGTCAGTGGGCCAAAGCTAGTGTCCTCCTGAGGAGAGAGAGTGAGTAGGCCAAAGCCTATTAGAGTCAGTGGGCCAAAGCTAGTGTCATCCTGAGGAGACTGAGTAGGCCGAAGCCTGTTAGAGTCAGTGGGCCAATGCTAGTGTTGTCCTGAGGAGAGTGAGTAGGTTGAAGCCTATTAGAATCAGCGAGCCAACGTTAATGTCATCCACAGGAGTGTGAGGTAAACCTCAGTGTCGAGACCCAGTAGTCTCAAGAATGCCAGACACAGAGTTAAGAGCCAAGCACTCAGGGTGTGAGAAGCTTCAGTGAGAGAAGCTCCAAGTTGAAGGCCTCGTGTGTAAAGCTGTGTGTAAAGCTACTATGTTAAATTCCTGTATAAGTTGTAAGAGGAGGCTCTGTGAAGCTAAAAGCTGTTTATCTGCATAAGGAAGAAGCCCAGTATGGAAGCAAAGAAGGAAGTATAAAGGACTTTATTTGTGTTGTATTTGCACTTGTTTATTTGTATTTAACCTCCAAGCGTTAAATCATTATATATATCTCTCTATCTATATGCCTGATGAAAAAGCTAATGGAGTTTCAAAAACTTGCATGTCATGTTTGGTGCATTTTGGTTAGCCAACAAAGGTATCACTCTTTTCTGGATTTAGGGTTTGGTTTTTCTTTATGACCCACTCAGCCGCTCCTGAATATATTTCCTTATGGAATGTTTAAAAAGACAGAAAATCACACCTCAGTGTGCTTCCAATTGGCCCACTGATTCTAATAGCATTGGATCGATATTCCTTATTTCCCTCTTTAATTGGCTGGGTATATGGATATGCAAGGAAAGAAGACAGGAGAAGTACTGGAGAATAGAGAGAGATTTACAAAGGAAGGATGACAACATCTAGACATGATACAGTTTCTTGTCTGAGACAGGGCACTTGCACAATAAAAAATCGATCTGGAAGAACCAAGACTTCATATTTCCCGAAGCCTGAGTCTGGAAAGCAACAGCATGGAAACAAAATGCAAACGAAATTATTTCTTTCTGTTACTATGTAGCATACAAATGAAACAAATATTAACATGAGCTGCCATTATACCATATGTATTTGCTACACTACACTTGATCCCAATGTTCTTCCATTCTTTATGGAGGTCTTTTCATCTTCCAAAATCACAACACTCTTCCCTTTCTCGAAATATCTGCTTCCTGATGCCACTATCGCATGTGTGGTCCTGGTGTCATGGAGGACACAGACTATAGAGGCAGAGGGTGGGGAGTGCAAAATAAATCTTACAGCTGAGTCATTTTGCACAAAAGAACCAATTTGTTCAAGGCAAACTTGCACTGCCCTCGTTGGCTTTTGGGAGTAGTTCATGCTCCAGAAGTGGCTCCATTCCAGTTGTAGGAAGCCAAGATTTGAGACAGAACAGCAAGAGAGACTGGAAACAATAAAACTTGAGACTGAGCAAATTTTAAAGTGAATGTGGAAAGGATGACTTGAACATTTTTTAAAATGCCCAGCAAGTAGATACCTTTTACTCACAGGTATAGTACAGGTTATAGCATAAGGATTTTCTGTTGTCTGTGGTTTTGTTGAATGTTTGCCATTGTTACCAATGTATTTCCATCTTGCTTCCAGTTTGTTTCACATGTCACTCAAATATACTTTCCTTTTAAAAATGATAATGTGAAAATGGCACATGTTAATGATTTGGGTTATATTCTGAACAAAGGTCACCTGGAAGACTGTCACAGTGGTATAACTGCATTGGCACGGGTGCATTGAGGGCATTATTTTCTCCAAAATAAGAACCATCTCCACCCACGAAAGTTTCCTTTAGTCCTCAGATTTCTAGCTCTGAAGTAATTAAACATTTCACTTGGGCATTTAGAAATACAATTAGGCATTTCATGGAATCATAGAGTCATTGAGTTGGAAGAGACCTTGTGGGCCATCCAGTCCATTCCCATGCCAAGAAACAGGAAAATCGCATTCAAAACACCCTCAACAGATGGCCATCCAGCCTCTGTTTAAAAGCTTCCAAAGAAGGAGCCTCCACCACACTGATAAAGAAAAGGGACTGATAAAGTTATTAAGGAAATATGAAATACAACAAAACAAAAAGTTCTAGGTGTAAATAATTGTCAATGGCTCTCTGCAATGCCATAAAAATGACGATGAAAGGACAAATTAATTGAAGGGGCAAAATTCTTATTGGGGGAGTTTTTTAATTTTGTCCCCACAATAGCTACCTTTGACTGACACTCCAATTATAGTTGCACTTAATCAAATCCCATGGGTGAGCTGAGAACCACAAAGATATGGAATTAAAATGAGACAGGGAGGAAAAAATTATATTTGTGCCTTTGAAAGTCAGATAGCCCCAAATCGTTAGTGTAAAGGGAGAGGGGAAGAGCAATCAAGGAAAGTAGTCCAAAATTTGGTGATAAAAAAGTTCAGGTGGCAGGACTGTAGAGGAAATGCAGCTTTTGAAGTATAGTTCTCTCTGCTCTAAATGGGGCTGTGGTGGCGCAGTGAGTTAAACCACTGAGCTATGCAACTTGCTGGCCGAAATGTCAGCGGTTCAAATCCACTGAGCAGGATGAGCTCCCATTGTTAGCCCTAGCTTCTGCCAATCTAGCAATTTGAGAACATGCAAATGTGAGTAGATCAATAGGTACCATTCTGACGGGACAGTAACGGTGCTCCATGCAGTCATGCTGGCCACATGACCTAGGAGATGTCTATGGACAATGCCAACTCTTCGGCTTAGAAATGGAGATGAGCACCACCACCCAGAGTTGGACTCAACTAGACTTAATGTCAAGGGGAAATCTTTACCTTTATCTCTCTGCTCTACGTGCGTAGAATTTATTGCAGCAATTGATTCATCTTGGTAATTTATCTTGCTATTCAGAGACACTATGATGATAAAACTCACTGGATATGGCCAAGTCACCAAATTCATATCACAAGCTATGAATTTCTTCTTTCTCCCACACCCCCCTTTCCCACCAATTTCTTTCACTCTGTTCATACATTTTCCCATATGGTGACTTTGGAAAATTCCTCTCTGCATAGAAAAGGACAGGAAATGCTCTTTGGGAGAGAGAGAGAGTTGCCTATTTCTCTCTCTCTCCCTTTCTAGTTCAGCTGATCACATCTGGAAAGGATCTGACTCGGGAAGGAGAGAAAGTGTTCGGCACTTGAAGTGAATGTAATTGACATGGCATGAGCAAACACAGCATTTTGGGGGGGACCAGAGAAACAGTGTTCTTCAGATACTTCCATTCCTATCAACTGAGCAGAGGTAAGTCTATTTCAGCACCTTTTCTGTTTTGAAAATAAGACCACTGCAGTAGCATGAGGCTTGGAAAGACAGCGGACAGCTCTTTTCATGTTGGCTGCAGCTGTCTAAGAATTCACAATGCATGCACAAAAACGCAGAACCTGTTAGTGCTGCACAGAAATAATACAGTATGTTAAAAATACCCCAGAAAACTGCTGGAAACATCAGAACAATTGACTCTATAGATAATGTGTGTATTCATTTCAAACCACTCTTAACATCCCAAGTGATGCTAGGTACATTGTTTCCTGTGCCAAATGGTGTTAGGGTGCTGGTCTTGAAAAGCAGAGACCAATCTGTTGGACTGTGTAGCAAAAACAGCTATTTTCTATGTATCTCTTATTCTCCTTGATTGCACTTGATTTTGCAGGATCCAAGTCAAACATTAGTGGGGTCCTTGCACAGACTTGAGTGAGACAACAAGCCTTGGATGAGGCACTTTCTGTAACAAGAGCAGAGATCTTATTTAAAAAGGAAAATGGATTAGTTTTCTTTGGACTGCAAAAGAAACCAGAACCACTAGCTTAGTTTTACTGCCTTCCCTGTTGAAAGCCAGCAAATGTTTTATTATCCCAATAGCTTCTCTGTTGTTCCAAAGTATCTACTGCTTTGTGGAGGGAAAGGAGATGATACTTGTTAAGAATCTTATGAAGCACAGTGAAGCATACAAGATGCATACCCTCTTCATTTTGGGATTAAAGACTTTGACTGATTTAAAAAAACTTTTTTTAATCCATCAATGCCATCTATGGTCAAAATAGATGCCCTGCTTTGTAGTAAAAGCATTTACTCTGGACGCCTGTATTCAGAAATAGATGTTATTAAATTTAATGATACCCATTGTGTTATATCATATCATATTGTTTCTATATGTGGGTAAAGTCCAGATGACAAGAACAGTGGGTGTTGCATTACCATGTACAGAGATGCCATTTAATACTTGATAATTGAGACAAGTGGATTAACAAACAGTTTGAATCTAAGCTTGAAGTTAGAACAAAATCTTATACTGTTCTTTGGGAAACCGAGGCCCCTTCTACACTGCCATGTAATCTAGATTTTCAAAGCAAAGAATTCACATTATTTGCTTTGAAGTGGATTATATGAGTCTACGCTGCCATATAATCCAGTTCAAATGAGATAATCTGGATTTCATGTGGCAGTGTAGAAGGGGAATGAGGGCTCTTCCACATAGCCCTATATCCCAGAATATCAAGGCAGAAAATCCCACATTATCTGAGTGTGGACTCAGACATCCCAGTACAAATAAGATATTCTGAGATTTTCTGATATATAGGCTGTGTGGAAGAGGCCTGAGAAAAAAACAGGATATCAAGAGACTGTACTAATCTTCCACATGCTTAAAGTGTGATTTAGAACAAGTCAAATATTTTTACATTATTTGTTGAAAAGGATATGTTTATTATTTTTTGAATATGTTTGCTTCTTTGTAAGTACTGTATCCCTAAAATACATGGTTTAAAAATCCCATTGCTTCATTTGGGCACCTGTACCTTTAATAGTTATTTAGAGGAGGGAATGTCAGCAGGTGTCCTTTCTTTATCTGTTTGCATGACAAAAACAGGAATTCTCTCCACATTTCAATTTTGCAATTCTCGTTATATCTTGATTTTCCCTTAGTTACAGCCCCTTCTACACTGCCATATAATCCAAATTATCAAATCAGATAATCCACATTATCTGCTTTGAACCGGATTATATGAGTCTACACTGCCATATAATCCAATTCAAAGCAGATAATCTGGATTTTATATGGCAGTGTAAAAGGAGTCTCTGTGTGCTTTGTTTTCCTAGGTGGCAAATATGGACTGAATTGGCAATTCCAATTTCTGAAGCACATATCTCCAGGGAAAGGGAAAACAAATTGAATGCAAGGGAATGCATTCTTCTTAATGCCTACTTTGATATTATTTCATGCCTTTAGATTAAGTTATAGAGTTAAATTTTTGGAGACCATGGAAAGTACAAGGCAATTCTTCAGCTTTAATGGAAAAGTTTGGTTTTCAAGGGAGAGCCAACAGAGATTATATCAAATGAGTGTTCTAGGAAGTGGTTACAAACATTAGGACACCGAGAAAGCAGAGGCAGAGCCCTTTGAAAGAACAGCAGGTTGCAGCAGCTCTCTGGAAGGCTGAAAGAAGAAAACTGAAAGTGACAGGCGATATTGGGATGCCAGGAGAAAATGTTCTGAAAGTTAAGGATAAGGAGCACGCCCAAAGCCAGCATAAGGATTTAAGGAGGATTATCACATGATCGTGGCTCTAAAACCAGAAAGACAAATTACTTTTGTCAACAGGGTACTAGAAAGATGCAAAAGAAGCAGTAAAGAAGTCCCAAGAAGTGAATGTTGCAGTTGCTTGGGGATGCTTCTACACGGCAGAATTAATGCAGTTTGATACCACTTTGCTGTCATGGCCCAATCCTGGGATTTGTAGTTTGGTGATGCAGGAACCGTCTTTAGCAGATAAGGCTAAACCACAGCTCTTGTGGTTCCACAGCATTGAGCCATGTCAGTGAAAGTGGTGTCAAACTGCATTACTTCAACAGTGAGGATGCAGCCCAGGAGGGATAAAACAAGGCCACATATGCAGACCAGAGTTGTTGCTCAGCAAAATTATCAGAAGGATTTTAATCTGGTAGTGTTGCAATGAGAGAAGAAAACACTATGAGTGGAATATGTAGAGCAAAGGAGAGAGAAAAGACTCAACAGTTCAACAGTAACATTATAAATTGATAAGGAGCATGTACAGGGAGAGGAGGGCTTAAGGAGGAAAGATGAAAAGTCCAATGGTGAATATACTCAGCCTGGCATGAACAGCAAACTTTTTGTAGACTACTACAGGTCTAATAGGAAAATCTGCACCTGCCAAAAACGTGCTTTTCTATGAACTATTAAGGTAAAGAAGCTCATTTTTCATTGTGTTTATTTACTGCTAGTTTGATTTGCAAATCTTCATAGGCATGCTTATTATTTAGGAATTAAGCTTGTCAGCCTGTGGTGATCTATGAATTACCTAGGGTTTTCTTAGGCAAGGAATGCTCAGGGATAGTTTTGCCAGTTCCTTCTTCAAACTGTAGCCTTTAGCACAAGGTGTTTGCAAGTGGCCTACTACCCAAGTACTAAAACTAGGGCTGATCCTGCATAGCTTACAAGATCAGAAAGGATCTGGTGCCTTTAGGGTACTTAGGAGTAACATTAGCAATCTAATGCTTGATTGTAGACAAGGTTTATCAACATGATACATATATTCAGGTTTCTATATTGTTGTGCAGCCATTGAGATTTGTGTGTCAAGTTTTTAAAATGACCTGATCATGATTGACTGCTTACTGCAATGTTTCCTTGGTTTCAGTGGCAATGTACCTGCAGTTCAAATTCCTGCTTCCTGTGCTGTGGTTGTTGGTGCTCAGCTCCAGCAGGATTCAAGGGCAGAAGAACGAAGACAGCAATGAGTTCACAGAAAATTCATCTGAACTGCTTGATCTGGAAGGCAATTCCTTGGCTCCACAGTGTCCGAAGAAATGTGCTTGCAGCCCCGAAGGAATTGTGGATTGTGGAGGGTTTTCACTGAAAGAATTTCCCATAGATATACCGGAATTGACAAACCACCTTTCCTTACAGGTAGAGCAAAATAAAACAGGGACTGCAAAGTATGAATCCTATAGTTATTGCCAATTAGAGGAGGTTCACTGTTTCATTTAACAACAGCTGATTCAACAAGTTTAGTCCTGTTGGAATTTAGAGTATGATCTGGGCCTATTTCTGTGGTCAAGATTCCTGTTGTCTTTTGCCTTATAACTCCCAATAATAATGTACTATTTTCAATGACTCCATCAGGGCTGTTAAGATTGTCAAAGGGAAATTATGTAATTGAAAAATTTAATAGATAGAGATCCCCTATAATGTAATGATTTGAATATTGGATAAGGATGCTGGGAGACCAGGGTTTAAATACCTCCTCATTTATGGAAATCTGCTTTGTGACTTTGAGCAAGTCACATTCTCTCAGCCTCAGATGAAGGTAATGACAACCCCCTTCTGAACAAAACCTGTCAAGAAAACTCTGTGATAGCTTTGCCTTAAGTTCACCAGAAATAAGTAATGACTTGAAGGCACATGGTGTGACAACAATAAAGTGACAGATATGAGCCAAGGCACTCTAATCTTATTATACTGTACTATTAGTCCAAAATGTATATTTCTTGTCACACAAAATGCAGGCTTCTGTAAATAAAATAAAAATATGTAAAATTGCATAACTTCCCAAGCGTCCAGACTCATTATGGCCTGCATCCAACTAATCTACTTGATGCTGAAGGAATGTCTGAGCTCACATAACAGCCACCAGTGCCAGCTTTTTGTTTAGTAACTGAAGAAAGCTTCCAAAACATGAGATATCTGCTATTGAAAGAGTATGGGGCTGGTATATGTATATGGCATCACCAATCTTTGGATGGATCTAAAGTTGCTGTTGCAGCCTTCTGTACCAGACAAGCAAAACCAGAGGACTCAAAAGTATTACTCCACACAAGTCCATTTAAGAAACTGGCATTCTTATAATTTTGATTCAAAGGAGGACAATCTTCAATGTTACCTTTCATTTTATCAAGGCAAACTTACCCTAATGTCTTGAGTTCCTAATCCATCTTTTCACTTCTTCCAGAATAACCAGATAGAAGAAATATTTCCAGAAGAGCTTGCCCGTCTCTCCAAGCTAGAAACACTTAACTTGCAAAACAACCGACTCACTTCCAAAGGTAAACGAGAAGGATCTAAGATGGGTGCAGCTTGACGCTAACAACCAACTAAGATGAATGTACAGAAAGAGCAGGCTATGAGTTGTATTCTGGCACATTGGTTACCCAAGCTTTGTCCCCTTATGTACAGTTCAGTCTCTAGACACTTCTCAGTTCCTCTTCCCTTGGACTAGGAGAACCTTGCTTCAGACCTGTTTTGGTTTATACACAGTCAAGGAGCTGTATATAACCCAATTCAAAAACTGAGGGACATGGTCTTTGGTCAGCTGTCAAGGTTTAATAGATTGCACAGCCGGGGATCACTCACAGAAGAAAAAAGGAAATTATCCAGAGATTTATATATTATCATCAGGTTTGCTAATGTCTCTACAGCAGTTCCTTTGTCAAGGAAAAAGATATGGGTATCTTTTTTGGCTGATCTATAAAGTTGTTTGTAGGAAAATGCTAGCTGAAGAAAAAGATAAGGCAAGAAAGATGTGTCTTGTGGGACAGAACAGGCATGTTCAGAAAATCCTTTCTAGTTGCAATTTCAGTTTACAAGCAGACCCTGATTTATAAACATCCGATTTACGAATGACTCCTGGTTAAAAATAGGGGTGACACAACAGGAAGTGAGAGAAATCTACCCCTTGGAAGGGACATTCCTTCCTGGATAAGTTATCAAGGGGAAGCTTTCTCACCAATCCTTGTTTCCACAAGCCAGATTTTTCAAAATCCAATTATGACAGGGACAGAAAATGAGGTGAAATCTTCTTAACAGGGGTGCAGACAGCAAAACAAATGCCACCCTTTCCTATGCTATCCAAAGCTGATACATATATACCTTTGGCTGGAGTTACACTTAAAAATGTACCTGTTCTGACTTACATACAAATTCAATTTAAGAACAAACCTACAGAACCTATTTTGTTCGTAACTTGGGTCATACCTGTATTAGGATTAAGAATTGTTTCCTTTATGTGTGCATTTCCTAAGTATAAGTTTCTTAATTGCCATATGTAAGCAAAACAAATTCCTGTAAGCACAACAGAAGTGGGGAAAGGCAGAGGAAACCAGGGTCAACAGAGAAATCTGCTACTTTGAGATACCTATTTGCCAATGGCATGTCTTTCAGCAGGGTCTTCAGAATGAAAGTGTTCTGTATGGGATGGCTTGAGAATTTCCTCTAGAATGACACATGCAACAAGTCACCCTTTCAAGCACACCTTTGCTGTTAAGGTCTCCAGTGAACTAGAACCAAGAGGTTCCTAGCCTAGGAAAAGCTTTTGGGTGGTAATAATCTCAAGGTGGTTTGTCATTTTTCATTTGCCATGAGGGTGTTTTTTTTAAAGGTTGGGTGACTCTTTTAACCAGAGATCAGGAATGTTGTAGCTGTGAATTTACTATCAGCAGGGGGTTGGACTTGGTGAACTTTGGAGTCCCTTTGAACCATATATCGTTGCAATTATGTGATTTGTCCCAATGTCACTTTGAAGTATGATTCAACTATTATTTCAGTTGGAGTGAGAAGAGGATGCCCTTCCAATCCTTTCTTTCAAGCAGCAAAATGTGTTGGCTTGGGACTGTCCTGTGCCGACAAACACGATAAAACAGCATATCCTTAAACTGTCCACATTTAACAGGGCCATCTTGGTTAATACTCTGCTTTCCTACTTTTTCAGCTGTTTTTAAAATGTCCTAACTTTCCTTCTATATTTCTCACTTTTTTCCTTTGTCCTCCGCTTTCTTACAATGGTGCAGACTGAGTTGGAGAGTACATAACAGCTTTGCAGCCTACTAAAGGGACCATCTAGAGTGAGGATCATAGTTGATCAGTCAAATAAATTAGGGCCCCATTCCTTTACTGGTTTTCATAATGAAAGCTGGTTGTCATGGAACCTGTCGTTTCTTCAAGAATAAAACTGTTCTGAAATGCACAGGCATGACTGAATTAAGAAAAAAAAATTATAATGCTGAGAGCAGTTCAGCATCTAATACGCTGCCCAGAGGGGTTAAATTGTCATCTTCCTTGGAAGTTTTAAATACATACACATATAAATAAATAAAGGATGTTTTAAGTACAGGATATTATGTCCTGGAACAGTGAGTTCTAAAAAGACTTTTTTTTCTTTTTGGTTTCAGCTGTTGTTTGCATTATCCCTCCATTATATTGCTTCAGCTTAACAACAGGAGGAATGAAATGGATTTTGATCTTCTCTTTAGTTTGCTTTAGGCAACTGAGTCATTGTTTGGAAGTCATAATTCTCCAAACTTTGTTTCTAGGCACTTAGATACATATGATGCATCATGCAGCAAAATATCTGAACTAACCTTGTTAGGGAGGCTGTTCCAAAACTGAGGAAGCAAGGGGTAATGGGAACAGGTTTTAGGTGCAAGGTCTGGCAAAAGATAGATAATAGGTTAGCAATAGATGTTTGGATGATTTCTAATGGATGGGTAACTTAGTTCATGTCATTTATCATTATCATCAACAAATCAAGAAAGTTCAATGTAAAACCAAGTATTATGTGTATGTTATCTGCATTCAATTTCATGGGATTTTCTTAGAGGCAAGGAATACTCAGAGGTGATTTACCAGCTCCTTCCTCTGAAATACAGCTTACAGCACCAGATATTTGTTGGTGATTGCCCATCCAAGTACTAACCATGGCTGATCCTGTTCAGATTCCAAGTCCAGATGGGATCTAGTATCTTTAGGGTATTTAGACCCTGATGCTTTTTTAAAAAATGAGAACTCAATTCTGGTCTGAAAACAAATTCATGGGTAGAGTGCACGTTTAAATGCACATAGTTTCTGAAGCTTCAAAGATGTAGTCTTCCTGAAATCTTTAAGTCAATCCTATTAAGCTCATAAGACTTACTTTTGAGGTAGGCAGATACAGGATTGTAATGTGTATGCTTTCCCCACTTACCAGAACTGGAGAAAGTTAGTGTTTGGACTCCAACTCCCAAAAGACCTGGGCTGAGTAGACAGATGCACACACATTTCCATAATCTGCTCCTTTGTATTTTGCAGCTGGCTTTTGCTGGTGATCCAAAATACACAATAGCAACAATAAAGGCTAAAGTCTCCCTAACCCATAAAGGAGCAGGAAATCTTTGGGCAACTATGAGTAGAAATTGCATGTTTTTGTTTTTAGATGGCTCTTGTTAAACAATGCAAGCTTAGTGTCCAACACTGCTCTTTGGGGCAGCATAAAAAACACACATTTACAAGGGAAACAATATTCTTATTACCAACACCAGGATAAATTGTAGCCTTAAATGAACTTAGTATCATCACATCTTGAACAATAACCCATTACTAAAAAAAAGTCTTTTAACTGCCAACCCACAGTTTTTATGGACTATATTTTGCTTTCATCCAAGTGCTAACAATACAGAAGGAAGCCAAAGACCCAACACAAATTAGTCCCTTATGCTAAAAAAGATGTTGGGTTTGTTGCTCTCAAAACATCACTTACAACCTCATCAGATTCGGTCCTCTCCCCGTTTCTACACATTTGTAATCCATTTCGAGATCAAAGTGCCACTAAGAAATTTCCTGACATCTGGTGTCATCTGTTGCGTTTCATCCTCAAAATGTGGTTGAAGTGTTTAGAAACAGGAGAGAAAAGGAAATGGGGGAAAAATAATCTTCTGAGTCCCTGAAGTGCTCAAAATTGGGAGCAAGCACTCAAAATACACCAGTGTTGTTTGTTCCATTGAAATGGAGCCATTGTAATTCCTATGGGTGGTCTTCTGGTGAACATGGACGCTCCAAATCTTGTCCCAAGTATTCAGTTTGAACCTGGTTACTTTTTTATTGGTTTTTAGTGCCACTGAAATAAGTTGCACAATGGAAAGATATCACTACTGCAGTAGCTTTCTTTCCTCCCTCTGAAGTATGCTGTGCTTTCACAATACCATTGCTTTAAACTTGTTATTTTTGAAAAATTTATTGCTGTCACTTCAAAGTTCAGCAATCTTATATTTCTTCTCTACATTAGTCATAGAACTTAGGAGTGGTCTTTTCATCTAGGTGCTTTAAACTATCAGAAATTCCTCCTTTGAAGTACTGCAAGATTTCAGAGTTCTGGGATTCCGAAAATGGAAAGCATTGAAATGTAAAGATTTGTTTCTGGATGGCACGCTACGACTTCAGACTACCCCCCTCCCCCTACTTCCCATAGTTCATGTGATGAGATCCATAGTGTACCCAGTAAACCATGTTTGAAACTGAGGGCCTTTTCAAAAGTAGCTTGTGATCTAGGAATCTGCTTTTCAGTTTAAAAAGTAAAAAAATGCTACTGAGTAGACCTGGACTCTCGGGTGTGCCTGAATTATCTGTCTGAATGGCTGCAGCCATATATATGAATCGATAAAAAATAAAGTAAAACACATTGGATCCTCAGTATCCACTGGGGTTTGGTTCCAGGATTCTCCACAGACACCAAAATTGATGAACACTCTAGTTCAGTTATATACAGTGATGTAGCAAAGTGGTTTCTCTTGTGCAAAATGCGAAAGAAATATGTTTGTTTTGGGATTTTTTAAAAAAGAAATTCAAGTTGTGGATGGTTGAATCTGTGCCTGTAGAATCCATGGATGTGATTTCTGCAGGCACAGGTAGCTGTACCACTTGGGTATTTCTAGTTATTTCTAAAGAAAGAAAAACATCAATACAGATATAAATCCTTCAGGGGATGAAAATACTTGCAACTGCTTTCTCTTAGAATATTAATTACCCAAATATTTCTGTTATTTCAAGGACTTCCAGAGGAGGTATTTGACCAGCTGGAAAATCTGAATTATCTTTACCTTGCAAATAACCAGGTAAGCAAATGTGATTGTTATAACAGCTGCTGTTGAGTGTATTTGTATATAAGTTGCCTAGAGAGAAACTATGTAGTACGGTAGGTTAGAACATCAAAAGATACCTATATAATGAGATTTTCCATTCATAATGTGATCCCTGAGATAGAAATTACAGAGCTGACAGGCTAGAGCAGTGAAAAGGCCATCTTCAGACACAAGGATGCAGCTAGAGAGATGTGGTAATCTTATGTTGGACATATCATTTAAAAAGTTGACTTATGAGAAAAGATAATAATGTTTGGTAAGGGATGAGGAAAAGAGGAAGACTGTATTGCAGTTTGATGAACTAAGAAAGAAACAACTCTGACTCTACAAGCCCCGAGTTGTGATAAACCTTCAAAGCTCCTTGCTGCTAACAGTGTGATTTGAAGATCTATTATTCACAGGGCTCCATAAATTAAAGTCAGCTTGATAGCAAGGAACAACAACAACAACAACAACGAAGAACACTAACAGTTTGAGGGTTGTAGAAAGCAGCCCATGTGCTGTAAGTTTCCCACATGTGGTAGAGATAATAAATGCTTCAGGGTGTCTTAATAGCTGGTGGGTGTTTATATCCTAGCAGTGTGTTTTCAATTTTTACAGTGTTGTAAATGAAAAAACAATGTGATTGGATTAAATGTGATTTAAGAGCTTCTATGGTACTCCAAAGGATTGTATGGTTCAACTTGGAGTTTCTCCAGATTGCTGTGTTCAAGCAAGAACACCGCATTTCCTTGAGTTTTGCCAATTGTTGTCAACTTTTTGTCCATTCATTCCAGTCTCTTTTGGAATAAAAAGAAACCTTCCTTAGGATGAAAATAAAATGTTTCAGCTAGTGCCAGGAATTGGCAGAAAAGAGTCTGCAGCAAAAGAAATATCATTTGTATGCATGCATGTATATATGTACACAAGTACCTCACAATAATTATTCAGTGCAGAAAAAATATGGTGTGATTTTTTGTGCATGATTGGCTCTTAGCACATTGCAAGATCTCTGTTGTGTACATGGATGCGCAACATTTCCAGATGCTTTTGCCACATGAAGATTTAAGTAAATGTCATTTTTATGGTTTTAATGAAAGAACCCCATTTCACTCTGCTGATACCAATGAGAGATTTTGCCGTTTTGGAAAAGTCCAATAAAAAAACATCTTGTCAATTCAATACACGGAGCAAGCTGCAAGAACCAGAATATAGGCAGTCCCTAAGTTGGGTTTGTTCTTAAGTTGAAATTGTATGTGAGTCAGAACAAGTGAATTTTAAGGTATAATTCCAGCCATATATATATATATAGAGAGAGAGAGAGAGCATAGAGAAGGGTTAACATCCTGTGGTGTTTGTTTTGCTGTCTGTGCCCCTGTTCAGAAGATTTCACCGCATTTTCTGTCCTTGTGACAAATGGATTTTGAAAAATTTGGCTTGTTGTGGAAACAAGGATTGGTGATAAAGCCTCAGTGGAGACATCTTTTCCCCATGATAACTCTTTCAGGAGTGGATTTCCTTTCTGAGGGGTAGATTTCTCACACTTCCTGTTGTCTCACCCATTCTTAACCATGAGTAGTTTGTAAATTGGATGTTTGTAACTCAGGGACTGCCTATATCAGTGGATGAGATTTTAATCACTTTTGGGGCAATTCTGTACAGCTTCCCTTTTTTATGGTCCCCAATGCATATGGTTTAAAACTGAGGACCTGGGTGGTCATCATATGAAAGAAAATTGCAGTAACCTTACTGACTTTCCAGATTCACTCTTTTGTTGCTGAGGGGCAGTGCAACATCAAACTGTTTCTCCGGTAACATCATGTCCTTTCCTCCCATTTACAGCAATTTTCCATATGACAATTTTGGCAGGGAGAATAGCTCCATAAAAGTAGAACACAAGCCAGGTTATGACTAATATTCCAGAACTTTTCTGTCCGGCCCCCCTGCCCCTTGCTCTGTGTGATAAAATAGTGATTAACCTTTCCTGTTGTTCCTGCTGCTGAAGAAAAACTGCACCCAAATATGAAAAATCAAACTGGCTCAAAAGGTGTTAGAATGTAATATCGTAGGTACAAATAATTTACTTGGTCACTTTGCATATTCGGAACCAGGCAAATATATTAAATATATATATATCACATTCACCGCATAATAGTCACACTTTTTGGCCCTTTCCCCCCTTCAAAAATAGGTGTTTGAGCAGTGGTGAAAATTTAGAAGCCTACCAGGGTCTCCCTCAGCCAGTAGCACAGAAAGACCCCGTAGGACTCTCCCACCAGCATGCGACTATTATGCAAGGAATGAAAATCTATCACTACTGGGGTCCCAAAAATGGGGGTGCAGCTATTATGCCATGGTGACTATCATGTGATGAAATATGGTATTTGGCTGTTGGAAATGTTTCAGAGGATAGTCACTTTCTGCAGAAGAGTAGTGATAAGTTGGATTTTTTGTGATTATCATTTTGGAGACCTTGCACACTACACAGTTGTGTCATTACGATTTAACTTAAATTAATATAGTTCCATAGTATATATCAGATGGTTTTCATAGCAAGTTTTGTTCAGAGGAAGTTTGCCTTTGCCTTCCTTTGAAGCTGAGAGTGTGTGACTTGCCCAAGTAGTTATCATGTTTGAGCTGGGATTTGAAGCCTGTTCTCCAAAGCTGCAATACAACTCTCAAACTACCATGCCGCACTAACAATATCTGTTTATGCTTTATTCTGTTAGAAGTTTCAGATTTAAACTCAGGAGGTCCCTATTATGTATTAATGTTTTCTAATGGGATTTTACTAGGAAAGAGGACTGAGCTATTTTCTGAAAGGAATGATGTATAGAGCAAAAATGTATTTGTTCCCCCAGCCCAGTTTCCTAACAGCTCCAGCCACCCACATGCAAAAACCAAAACATAATGAAAACCCTCAATAAAACCTCATTGTTTTCTAAAACAATTATACATATTAACGAGAAAAGTAGAACTTTCTTATTGTGAAGAAGCCCTGTGGTAGGGGACCTTCTGAGATGACAATCTCCTCACCAAATATTATCACTGCCTGATAAATTTCTGCTGCAAAGTTTGACAGGGTGGTGGAAATTTGAAGCATTTGTGTCCCAGACAACGATCTCTGCCTCTGGCATCACATTGTATTTCTCTTCCAGCTCACAGGGGCTCCAAAATTCCTCCCAAGGACTTTGATCAGTGCGGATTTTGCAGCCAACAATCTCACAAGGATTTATGATCTCACATTTGGACAGAAGCCGAACTTGAGGTACCAGAGAACTTGAGACAAAGGGAGGACAAATATATCCTTCCTCTTGTTGTGGATGAAGAAAAAATGTTAAATAAAATTACTTGTGGCCTACCTATTATATATGGAGAAAAGCAGTTGTTTATCTTAGGCATGCTTCAAACAAGTGCAAATTGGCCCCTTCTACTTAGGGTCACTTCCTTTCATCCAGATAACAATCATGTCAGAAGGTTTGTCATAATATATGGCTATTATGTAAATCAGAAATGTGTCTTATTGGTTATATAATCTGTTGTTCATGCAGGAGGGGATTTTCAGCTTCTATTTTAGCTTCACTCAAACATCTTCTTGACAATACCTCATTAACTACAATAAGAAAAAGTTAGGTTGTTGTACACAGCTCACTTCACAGTGTGGCGAGAAGTTCCAGGGGCATAGCATTGCCCCAGATTGGGTCACTTGGAAAGGTGTGGGGTGTTAAACATCTCTTACCTGTGTGCAATGGTTCTGATCTGGCCTAGATTGTCTTCATTTACTTTGGTCTAAGAAATAAAGTGAGTATTGTTTGTATTTACAATATAGAATTAATCCAGTTCAACACCGCTGTAACTCTGTGCTGTGGTTTCATGGGTATTGCCTTTAGCTTTTCCTATCAGAAGTGTTCTGTTGCCTCAACAAAATACAAATCCCAGGACTTAAAATCATTAAGCCATAGCAGTTAAAGTGGTGCCAAACTGCATTAATTCTACAGTGCAGGCACACTTTTAAGTCTCTCGAAGGCAACAATATACGTTTTTAAGAAGAGGTCCCCAGAAATTTTATCCCAATGCAAATACTTAAAAACTGCACCCCTCACTTGTATTTTCTCTCCCACTTTACTTGCACTATGAAGTACTTTGTTAAGTATCTGGTATTTCAAAGTACTTGACAAAGGCTATTCCAGTAAAGATCCAAGAGCTGCCTTCCTGGAACACACAGTGTCAGTGGCTAGCTGGAATAAGCAAAGTAGGCCTGAAAGGAGCCAAACCAGATGTGATGCCTGATCATGTGATGCTAAACTAGATGATATATCTGAAGATGTGCTGTTAAACAGTGCCAAAAGTTTAAACACAGCACTACCCTATTCACATAGAGAGGTTATTGTTCTGCTTTTCAAAGTGAAAATAATGGGTAAGGAGATCCCTGCTGTCACCAGTAGTCTACCTCTCAACTAATTCATTTTCCCAATTGCTTCACAGTAAGTCCAGTATTAGAAAAGAAATTGACTAGACAAAAAAGTCTGGGAATGGATCCATGGGTAAACAAGCTGGTGAGGAACAATGCTCTTCATCCTTGCACTTCTTTGACTTTAAAGCAGTGATTTCTCTGTGTTGTCAAAGGCTTTCTGGAACATGGCCATACAGCCTGAAAAATCCACAGCAACCCAGTGATTTCTCTCCTTATATGTGATGGCTCCATTCTGTGTTTACATATGGAGCTGCCACAATTTTGTCTAGTCATGCACCAATCCACACTATTGAATCTACAATGCCAGGACAAATAATGTCACTTTTATAAATACATAGCATATTTGACTATAAAGTAGTTGTAATACAGAATGCCAGCCATGGAATGTATTAGACGTACTGTGTGTCTTATCATTTTCAAGACTTGCTGACTGTAATTGTAACTCATTATGGTTTTTCATTTTAATTGCCTTAATAAAGGCATTACTCTAACATGAGTTTGGGATTTTGTTGTGTTTTGCTCGAAGGCCAACATGGCTATTAGTAAATAACCATATATGATAGCTAACATATTCCTGACCAAAGGAGAAGTTTAGGACTCATATTCAGAAAGCCAGATGGAAGAAAAACATGCAGGGTGGTCTATAATGATTCCTAGCTAAGTTTGGAGACTTTGTTTGTTTGTTTCTCCTTTATTTTAGGTCAGTGTACCTCCACAATAATAAACTTGAAGATCCTGGGTTACCAGAGAACATGTTCAACGGCTCTGACAATGTGGAGGTCTTGATCATGTCCAGTAATTTTTTAAAATATGTTCCCAAGAATCTGCCACGAGCACTGTATAAGCTGCATTTGAAGGTACAGTCACAGTCCTATTAGCTTATTCCCTTTAGAGCAGACATGGGCAAACTTCGCCCCTCCAGGTGTTTTGGACAGTCTACTGGCTACTAGGAATTGTGGGAATTAAAGTCCAAAACACCTGGAGGGCCAAAGTTTGCCTGTGCCTGCTTTAGAATCTATTTCGGCCTGTTAGATGTTGGAGTTTTGCAGGGCTGACTCCTTCCAGTCTGTCTGTCGTGTTTATAGGCTGTTCTCAGTCTGGTGTGTTTATAGGTTGCCCAAGGGTGTTGGAGAGGACTCACAAAACAATAAAAATCAGCAAATACAATAGAAATAACAGCAGTAAAATAGCAACACCAGGCCGCCAACAGGATTAGTCATACTCAAACAGTACTCAACCATACTCGGTGGTTCAACTCCACCGACGAGGCTTTGTTCTTATGCTGAGCTTGTCATCAACCAAAGAGGATGGGAAGGGATCAGGAAGCCTGATGGTTGTGTTGCAATTGTCTGGAAAGTTGACAAAAATGATTTTGTGCCACCTCTGGTTTTCAGAATATTTTATAGACAGTGTATGCCATGGCATTCTCCAGGCAATGCTTCTGCCATTTTATAGTTTCCTTATTATAACCAGAGGTTATTGGGCATTGCTCTGAGTTTTAAATTGTTGTTTTAAATGCTATAGTTTTACTTTATTGTATTGTACTATGTGTTTATTTTATGTTTTGTTTTAGGCACTTTGTGCCATATGTAAGCCGCCCCGAATCTCTTTAGGGAGATGGAGGCGGGGTACAAGAATAAAGTTGTTGCTGCTGCTGTTATTGTTATTATTATTATTATTATCATTATCATCATCAGAAACACAACAAGATTAGTATTGTTTATTTATTTATTATGACATTGATATGCCGCCCTTCTCACCCTGAAGGGGACTCAGAGCGGCTTACAAGTAAACAAGATCACTATGCTGGCTGTTGTATTAGATCATACGTCGGACACTTCCCAAGTGTCTAGGACTGTGTGATGTATTGACAAACAATGATCAAGGGAAGGGTGGTCTTTTGCAGCTGACAGATGGTAATTTTGTCAGTGACGATTGTGTTTAAGTGCAGGCCAGGGTCTCTAGGCATTGCACCCAGTGTGCCGAACACCACTGGGACCACTTTTACTGGCTTGTGCCAGAGTCTTTGCAGTTCGAACTGTAAATCTTCGTATCATGTCAGCTTTTCCTGTTATTATTGTTGTCGTTGTTTATTACTACTATTAGTGTGAGGAGGTAGATGTTAGGCTTATGCTCTCTTTTATGTGCTCAATTTTCTTGCTTCTTGTGGCAGAATAACAAGTTGGAGAAGATCCCCAAAGGAGCATTCAGTGAGCTCTTAGGACTTCGAGAGTTGTATCTGCAGAACAACAAACTAACAAATGAAGGCATGGACAATGAAACCTTTTGGTGAGCATCTCAATATTCTTTAGTTAATCTCTTGCTGTGTTTCATTAATCATACAACAAGGTGTACTTGCACATTATTGGGAAAAAGCCACAGTAAGCATATTAAAAGATCACTCTATCCCTAGCAACTTGTGAGGAGTTTTTGAATGGGTGTAGGTGTCAGTGTGTGTGAGAGAGATTTCACTCTGTCCCATGTGCAATATATTTAGAGATACAGGAACAATCACTATCCCTCCTGTTTATAGCCAGATTGGTGAACATGCAATTAACAACCATTTTTTATCTTTTGAATATTTTAACTAGGGATGAGAGAGAGAGACTGGAGATTGGAAATATAACACATACTTTAATAGAATCATTTTCATAGAATCGTGGAGTTGGAAGAACCTCATGGGTCATCCAGTCCAACCCCCTGACAAGAAGCAGGAAAATCGCATTCAAAGCACCCCCAACAGATGGCCATCCAGCTACTGTTTAAAAGCCTCCAAAGAAGGAGCCTCCACCACACTCTGAAGCAGAGAGTTCCACTGCTGAATAGCTCTCACAGTTAGGAAGTTCATCCTAATGTTCAAGTGGAATTTCCTTTCCTGTAGTTTGAAGACATTGTTCTGTGTCCAGGGCAGCAGAAAAACAAGCTTGCTCCCTCCTCCCTATGACTTCCTCCCACATATTTATACATGACCATCATGTCTCCTCTCAGCCTCTTTTTTGCAGGCTAAACATACCCAACTCTTTAAGCCACTCCTCATAGAGCCTGTTTTCCAGACTCTTGATCATTTAAGTCGCCCTTCTCTGGACACATTCCAGCTTGTCAACATATCCCTTAGATATTGTGTGTCCTTCAACATTTTATGCCTTCTGCTCTAAGTGTGGGCCAATTATTCTTCCCACAGCTCTCCCATATTGCTCTCTGAGTTTATAGACAATATGGAACCAAATAGCCATATGCCATTTCATTATTTCTTCAAAATCTATCGCTCTTTATCTCTGTTGGCCTGTCTGTCTGAGTTCCTTCCTTCCTTCTAATTGACAATGTTTTTATTTTTTCCAAGGAAACTGTCAAGTCTGGAATATCTGGATTTATCCAGCAACAACCTCTCCCACATCCCAAGTGGCTTACCTAGAAACATTGTCCTTCTCCACCTAGAGAAGAATGCAATTAAAACAATTGGCAAGGATGTCTTGACACAGATCAAAAACCTGGAATACCTTCTACTTCATAATAACAAATTGAAGGCTCGTGGGATCCACCCCCAGGCTTTTCAGGGTCTGAAGAAACTGCATACTGTCCATTTGTATAACAACCAGCTGGAAAAGATTCCCAGTGGACTACCCAGGCGGGTGAAAACTCTTATGATTCTGCACAACCAGATCTCAGAAATTAGCAGGAATGATTTTGCTACCACGTACTTTATGGAGGAACTAAACCTGAGTTACAACAAGATCATCAGCTCACAGATTCATCGGGAAGCCTTCCGTAAGCTGAGGTTACTGAAGTCCTTGGACATTTCAGGGAATAATCTTCAAACCATGCCTTATGGCTTTCCAAAGAACCTGCAAAGTCTGAAGCTAAAAGTGAATGAAATCAGCTCCATTCCCAGGGGCACCTTATCTGGAATGTCAAAGCTGCAGGAGCTGTATCTGAGTAACAACAAACTCAAAGTCAGCTCAATTTATCATGGATCATGGCGGGATCTCACCAGCCTCAAGGTAGAGTTACAATTGTATCATTCCCATTCAATTGTTTGCTTAATATCACGTCTTTCTCCCAATATGGGACCCAACTTGGTTCACACTCTAATACAAAATAAAATACTGCCTTACTACCAGTATTTATTTCTTAACTGACTCTCCCTTTGAGTTGGCATAATACAATGGAACAAAATACAGGAACAAACAGGCACACAACACAGCAGGAAAAAAACACGGATAACAATTAAAATACATAACAACAGAGCATAACATTAGTTTTAAAAGCATACAAATAAAACAATCAATCCATAATTTAAAAATTCATAGTTTAGAAAAATCTAGATAACCCTGCTCGAAGAGATTGGTTTTTCAATGCTGTTTTAAACAGGGACAGTTGTTCAATCCCTTCTGGCAGGTAATTCCACAATTTTGGAATGGCTAATGAAAAAGTCCATTGGTTAAATTGCCAGCCTGTTCCTGGCTAAGTGGAATAAATACCCTCCAAAAGACCCAAGTGTATTGGATGGTTTATAGGGGAGAATATGACTTTATACCAGTGGTTGTCAACCTGTGGGTCCCCTGGTGTTTTGGCTTACAACTCCCAGAAATCCCAGCCAGTTTACCAGCTGTTAGGATTTCTGGGAGTTGAAGGCCAAAACATCTGAGGACCCACAGGTTGACAACCACTGCTTTATAAGAAACCTGGACCCAAACTCTGTAGGGCTTTAAAGGTAACAGCTGACACTGATTGTCAGTTAATTTCTTGGTAAAACACAAAGTGTCACCTGTTACCTTTAAAGCAGCTAAACATTTTTTGTTATTTATGTAATGTTTTTATTTATGTATGTGTGTATGTGCCTTTGAGTTGCCCGTCAACCTTTGGCAATCTTATTATTTTCTTAGACAAGATACTCAGAGATGGTTTCGTCGGTTCTTTCCTCTGAAGGATAGCCTACAACACCTGGTATTCAAGGATGTAGGCGGGGGGGGGGGGCGAACCCCTACTACTCTTCATGTTCCGCTATTTTCTTTTCAATTACCCCCCACTCGAATTTTTTTCTGGTACTGCTGGTATTTGTTGGCAGATTCCCAATTCAAATACTAACCCTGCTTAACTTCCCAAGATCAGATGGGATCTAGTGCCTTTTGAGTATTTAGGCAACAGTAATTCACCTGAATTATTTGGCCATTACTGGCAGGAGCAATGCTGTAGGAAAGCTAAGAGAGCCAAAAAGGGAGTGTCTTAAGTTGGAAGCATAAAACCTTCGCCTTGGAGAAAGCTCTCAAAACCCACAGCAGAAATTAAGAAGTTTCCACTGCAGAATGAAGGGGAACATCACCAATCACTAGGCCAGTCCTTTCCATCTGTCCAAAATCTTGGTGTTCAAAAACTTGAGCACCAAATGCCAGATTCTGTATTGCTGCACATTTATTAACAACTACAGCCATCCCTGTTCACTCAGCTGACCAAGCTGCCAGAAGAAATTTAGAGAAAGCATGGGCCAAGATGAAGACAGCTGAGCTGAAGCCAACCAAAAAAAAAAAGAAAAGAAAAGAAAAGAAAAAAGAAGCAAACTGGGACTGTAGCTCATTCAGCCATCCAGCTACAACTTAACTGTGCAGCCACATCTCAAAACACAGCCAAACATTTGACAATCATCTTGCTAACATGGTTGTAAAGAAAGCTGCAGACAAACAGAGCTGAAGGGGAGAGGGGGAGACGTGCTAAAATAATTATGTGGGGAAGGCAAAAGGGTAGTTAAAAAAAGAATAGTACAAAGTAATGGAGACAAGGAGAAATTAAGGGCAGGAGAAACAAGGGAGACCTAGAGCCAATGCAAAAGAGTGGAAACATTTGCTCTTCTAGTCATGAAGGAGCTGGGGGTGGTGACGGCCAACAGGGAGCTCTGGCGTGGGCTGGTCCATGAGGTCACAAAGAGTCGGAGATGACTGAACGAATGAACAACAACAAAAGTCATGAAGTACTGTGTACTGTACGAACACACATCCATACATATCTCCCACCATTGTATGGACATGTAACTAGTGCCATGTAATAATGCACAGTGAGTACGTTTTCCTGAATCCAGTGTGACTTAGTTCTGAGCAGAATATGGTTGTTAATTCTACCTTTTCTATGCAAACTGCAGGTGTCTCATTACTCTCAATTTCTATGTAAGCAGTCTAGACCCGAAGAAGCATGAAGGTATTTTCTTTTCATTAGGTGTCTCAGCTAATCCTCTGTCCTTTGCTCTCTTTTTTGCAGACATTAGATATGGCTGACAACCAATTGACTTCTATTCCTTATGATTTGCCAGAGTCCTTAGAGTATCTTTACCTTCAAAACAACAGGATCACCACTGTGCCAGAAGATGCCTTTGAATCCACGCCCAACATAAAAGGAATCTATCTCAGGTTTGTAGTCCAAGAAAAAAGCAATTCATCGTACAAGGTGCTTCTCTTAAAGGCCCAGATTCAAATAATGCCCAAGAGCTTGGATTTCTTTAATTTTAATTAAAATGAACACTGGAATCTTACTATCACATACTGTGTCATATATTGAAAACATCTCTGAAGTACCAGAAGTAGTTGATAATGTGGTTTGCGGAGATTGTGTCAAAGTAACATAAGCTCCAAGCCTCCTGGACACAATGTAGTTGTTGGACTCTGTCCATTATTATTCATAGTGGTTTGAGCATTGGCCTACAATCCTGTGGACTGCAACCCTGTTCAATTCCCTGTTCAGCCATGGAAACCTGCTGGATGGCCTAGTGCAACTCACACATGCTCAGCCCCAGAAAACCCTGTAATAAGGCTGCATTAGGATTGCCAGATCCCAGAAGCATGTTGAAGGCACACAATAACAACATCTGGTAATCCAGAAAAAAAAGTTGGGTGGCATAAAAACCTTCACAGCAAAACAGCATTACTTTTAGGAACACACACTGACCATAGTAGAAGGTTTGGATAAAATTAATCAACAAATTGTTAAGCTGTTTAATTGTTTATTGTTGTGTTGATACTGTCAAGAATGCACAGTGATGCTGGTTGATCTGCCAAAATACTTTGGCTGGGTTTGGCTGTCTTACAAGTTAACTTGGAGTGGAAAGAGAACAGCACTGAATTTGTTGCTAGACTTCAGGCATCAAAATGCCTTGAGTTAGTCCTGTGAAAAAACACTAGCAATTCATTAAGAAAATATCTCTGCACAGAGTATTTGTTTTTCAGGAAATGAGCATTTTGTACTCCTTGAATGCTCATGAATAAAATGTCTGTACTTGTGAAGGCACAGAGAGTGAATGATACCTGGCACGATTCTTTTTCTGTATGCAGATAGAAATCTCTTAACACAATAAGATACTCATGAATGTAGAAACTCGTGTGGATGGAAGTCGGATTAAAATAGTGACACATGAGCAGAATATTGCTATAAATAGATATGACACCCCTTTTCTCATTCCAGGGTGATTGCATGGTAAATGGAGGCCTCTTCTTGGATCAGATCCTAGTAGATTTCAGGAAGGAGATTGATATTTGCAAATAAACTCATATTTGCTTTAATAACACTGATGACCTCTTTTTAAAATTTCCAGGTTTAACAAGATTGCATTCAATGCAGTAAAAGAAAGCACCTTTCAAAAACTGAAGCATTTGCAAGTTTTGGACATTGAAGGAAACTTTGAATTCAGTGACCCTTGGAAAAATGTAGATCATTCTGAGGAAGACATGCAAGAAGAAGAGGAAGAAGAGGAAGAACAGGAGCTGGAAGAAAAATGAAGGCATGGCTTTGACAAGGCATAGATAACTCATGGACATCGTGCCATATGTTGATTGTGCATTATTTGTGAATACACCAGTTTTCATTGCACATATATGTACAATTAAAAACCAAGCTGCAGATACCCTATGATAGTATTCATGGTGCAAACAGTCTATGCACTGTCTGTACTTGTGACAGTCTAATATTTAGGTGTTTTTCTGAGGCTACTTTCCAACATAGAAAGCTGCCTTATACTGATGGATCAATCTAGTTCAGAATTGTTCACAGTATGCGGACTGGCAATGGCTTCGTAAGGCTTCACATTAGGGACAGGGTAAGGATACTAAGGGTTGAACCAGGCTAAAGCAGAGAGGTTCCCCTTATCTCCAAGACTAGAAATGAGCAACAGCCCTTCCTTATTCTCTAGCACTTTCTTTTTCCAAGGAGCAGTAAAACAGGGGTCTGGGTATCCTTTGGAACACTTTTGAGAAGATAGTTCAAACATTTATTTTGTGACCGTATAGCTACAGATACATCATGAGGAGCCCGCACATTCTGACATGGAAGTGCCTCCAAATCTTTTATGCAGTCCACAAGCCCTGCTGGGCCGGCAGCACATTGACACCAGTGCCTTGACTTCTTGGGTACCTTAGCTGCTGTTTTACTGTCTAGACCAGGCATGTGCAAACGTCAGCCCTCCAGGTGTTTTGGACTTCAACTCCCACAATTTCTAACAGCCGATAGTTATGAATTGTGGAAGTTGAAATCCAAAACCCCCGTAGGGCCGAAGTTTACCCATGTCTGGTCTAGAACCAGCTCCTTGATAGAACTATGCTGGTGACATTGCTTCTGGTGATCACTTGGTTGGTGAAACAGTGGTTGGCTTTTTTTGAGGAGTGGATACTGGATCACTCCACTTCCAGGCCCATCCAGCTGTCTACACATCAAAAACACTGGGGGTCACTCTAGATTAATCTTCTTGTAGTGAATTAATGGCTGGAATAAGAGTTCTGCTGCAGACCTTGCTGTTTGTCGTGTGGATTGGACTTCTTGCAGTGGGTTTGAAAGGTGTATGTTTTATTTGGTCCATGTAGATGTTGAGAAAGAATGAGCAAATGCTCCTTTGGTGGGATACTTTTTAAAAGAGATACCTAACTGCTTTGATTATAGAATCTTGGGTCACTGGGGTGATATAGGCTTGATTAAATGTAAATAAATGCAGTTAGCCATATCTGCATTACATTTTGATCCCTTGCTTGATTCTATTTGAAACTAGGGTCTTAGATTATATAATTAGGATAAAAATCTAATTAGGCTTAATAAGATGCAAGGAGTTCGTACACGGAATTCTGACTTCATGTTTTGCAGGAACTAATTTAGTAAAACATGTACTCCCCACTTATATGTCTATATGTATCTCTATTTCTATAGACATGCAGAGAACTCTTAGCTGAACGTGCAAGAAATTACATGCAGGTGATTGTGAGATGGTTGCTGAGGCCAGTTGAACATAGTTTGCTAATATAGGAAGAGGAAACCTTCAAGTATTATTCTGTATCTTCTACTTCATTTTCTCCAAGTACTTTCTGAATCATCAGGGACTGGTAGGGAATTTACAAAAGCTGGCTTTTGTTTTCCTTCTTATGTTACTTCCATAGTTTTAATCGGTAAGCAACCGTTGGACTCTTTAAAGTAAATATCGTAAAACAAGCTTATGATGCCAACACCATTTAATGAATGATGGTATTCAGATAGAAGAACCATCTGATGACAATGAACCCACCTTTTCACTCTGTTCAATATGTATATTTGGATTTTTTAGAAGTCATATTATGGCTGGACCCCTTTTTTAATTTATCCCAGTTTCCAAAGCCTGCAATGTGTACATCCAGCTTTTTGAAGGTTTAAAATATCAAATCATTCTATTTTGTGAAAATTAAAATATATTTTGCTTTTTGTTAGACTTGTGCATGTATATTTTTGCGTGAATGTGTGTGCATATGTGTAGGGCGCTAATGCCCCTTGGAAGAAAAATGCACATAATAACATAATGAATTCATAATGGAAATGTCATGAGGCTTCTTTTGATTCCAGTAATTGGTCAGACATTTAGTAACATTTTTTAGGGAAAGGAAAATGGTTTGCAATTTGCTTTCCATAGGATACACACATTTTTTCTTTTAGCCTACTGATGTCTCTGGTCAACCTTTTAAGAAAATTTTGAAATTCATTATTCCTTTAAGTAGGACCGAATACTGGAAGGCCAAGAAAAAGAGAACACTGTGAACTGATATATGTGTCCTGCATGGGAAGTGTGACCTCAGGAATGTAGATATGGGTGGATGGCAAATAAACTGCAGTAACTTAAAACCTGGGATCAGCCTTTAGAAAGAAGAGCTTAGGCATCCATAGGAGAAAAAAAAGTGGCCAAACTGACCAAGGAAATATGGACACAGCCAATATGAGTTCTCTGTGTGAGGGATTTACATGTCTCACTCCTTGCAATGTTAGAAATTTGGGAATGGAAGGAAAATTTAATGGAGTGGGTCGAATTATTTTAAGGGTAACGCCCTCATCCCATTACACTTTTGCTTCCAAGCATGAACACACAATGCAAAATATCAGCAATTAGAGTGATCAGTTATGTGCTGCCAACAAAGAGGAAAGGCATTCATCAGAAGCAAAAAAATGCATTAAATGTATGTCAATAGAGTACCTCACAGTAACAGCGAATACCATGGCAGTGTGGTCTGTGTGTCACACAATGTGTTTTATAAAAGCTTTCCTTTCTTATGGTTCCCTTCTTATGGTTACTACATCTTTAAAACTAGACTTGGATTGGATACTTTCCAAACAGAGGACCATATTCTTACAGCTGTCCTCTCAACAAAACTTTGGCAGTCCTATTAAAGCCCTCATCTTACCCTGGCTTTTATAGCCTTTCTAATTAGAGTTTTCTATAGTAATTGCTTTTTTAAAAACTGGGTCATTCTTTTGCTATTCCTAACCTCATTTAAAATTACTGTGCTCATTTGTGAATGGCTTTCTATTATGTTGCACCACTTGTTCTAGAACAGAATTTAACTGATTTATGTGTGAGCTGCACTGTTTTGGTTGTGGGTTAGTAGAGCTCTTGGAACATGTGGAGCAATTGCGATTCAAGTGGAGATGTTTCTAACTGTAACCCAGCAGGGAAAACACCTGATAAAAACCCCATGCCAGCCAAAGGGGCCAAGAAATCTTGACATTAAAGTGGCTGTCAACTTCCTTCCCAAGCCAGGCCTCTCCAAAGAATTGTATTATTGCACAATACAAATGCAGCTGTTGCTGTTGACCAAAGGCCAGGGTTCTGGAAGGAGAGAAGACAAATACCAGCACCTTTCAAAAAAGCAGGGCCTCTGTTTGAGGAATGCCACATGCATCTACACCAGACAAGGGCAAATGCCCATGCCTTCTCTACACTGTTAAACAACACCAAATTTCAAAGCTAGAAGGCTTTAAAATTTTAAGTGATGTGTGGTAGGGATTCAAATGATAAGAAAAGAGATCCCACCTAAATATTAGGAATAACTTTACTGTAAGAATGATTTGACCAAGAAAAAGGTTACCTTGGAAGTTAGTAGACTTTGGAGGGTTTGAAATAGAGCTTGGGTAGCAACATGCCCCTCCTCCTTACCTGGTAATAAATGAGAACCTATGTAAGATCAAACCAAAGATATTTCTGGTTCAGTATTTTGTTCCACTGTGGCCAGGCATAGACCTACAAGAAGCTTTCAAGCAGTGAAGAAAATAAAATCCTCTTACTTGTATTCTTCATCACCCTGGGCAATATACAACATGTTCTATACAGGATAATGGTCAATAGGCAAAGACAGAAGAAAGAAATTATGTTCATTTTTTTTGCTTCTTTGAATCAGATAACTGGAGTTCAGTACCACCAGCCCAACTACTATCCTACCTAAGCCATTCCGATCATGCTTGCCTATACCACCACCAGCAGATACAATCCATGTGAGTGAAGGGATGCAGCTACCCTGAGTTCTTGTCCAAATATTAATGGTGCTTTCATAGGCATTAAACCCATTTGGGGAAATAGACTTAATTATCCAGCATAGGATAAAATCCAGAGCTGATATACTGTCCCACTTTTATGGAACCCATCAACCTGGGATCAGTGGACTATACTATAGTATATACTGTAGCATGTTTGTATACTTTCCCTTCTTTTACAGTATAAATTAGTTTATATTGCTTTTATAATTATAGGACCATGACCACATTATTATATGGTGGAGAAGGGATAACTCATGGTTTAACTGCTGGCTTTTGTTGTAATTGAAACAGCTGTCATGTCCTCTGTTGAGGGTGTTGAAGTGATTACAAACTGGATCAAAAGTGTATTTTTAAAATGTGAGTGTGCAACTTCAGCATTTAGCTATCGCCTCAACAAGAGAAACCAGAAAGACAAGCTTTTCAGTTATTTTGAGATTTGCATTTGCATTTCACAAATTGAACTCCTTTTGGGGCTTCAAAACCATAACTAACTACTTCCAAAATTAACATGTTCTGGGTAAGTAGTTTTCAGATGTTTCATTTATTGAAAACATGTATGTTGTAATAACCACGATTATGTCCTCACAAAAAATAAGAGTCCACTGTAAAAAAAAATGTTTTGTTTTGGGTTGCTGTGAGTTTTCTAGGCTGTATGGCCATGTTCTTTTGGAACATGGCCATACAGCCCGAAAACTCACAGCAACCCAGTGATTCCGGCCATGAAAGCCTTCGACAACACATGCAAGACCTCTCATATACAGTGTTTTATTGAAGAAAAAAACATCTTGTTTGGGGTCTGGCGTTATCACTTAAAAATATCCAGTTGTAAAATTATCGTATCTAAGACAAAAGGATGGATTGTGGAGCAAATAAAACCCAAACTCTCACTAGATAAGTCTAGATTACTAAACTGGGGCAATTGTAGTTTGGACGGATTTGAAAAGACAATAATACTTGGTTGATAACTGGGGCTCTTGGATGTCTCTCATTCAGAGGGTCACATAACACAAAGTTAATTTGATGGCAAATGAGAACAACATGAACACAGCACAAGTACAAATATGTTGAGTGCTCATGTGAAACAACTTCAGAATCAAGTTACAACCAAGTTGACCAAAGCCGTTAAACCGATGAACAGCAAATGTTTTATGTTCATGCTGAAGTGCTTTGTAAATATAGGTCTTGATTCTTGTACAATTGCATATTGTACAACTGCAGATGAGCTTAGGTTTTACAAGGACATTTCAAAGCAGATTTACTGGGTGCATTATTACATGGAACTGTTGGAATGCTCGGAATTCATACTGTTTACACAGTTCAGTCCAAAAAGGAAAACAAATATAAATCTACTTGTATTCTTGCTTGATGCCGATGCTGCATAGGAATGCTCAATTAATTTTATAATCTTAATTATTTTTTGTCATTGATGAATTGGACTTCTTTTTAATTTTGTGGAGCTGAACAACACTCTTCTCATCCTTGAGAATTTTCAGTTTGATGAAAAATGCTAATCATGTTTTGAGGGGTGGGACACTTAACCTCACTTTATTGTTCAAGGGTAGTGTAATTGGTTTAAACTATTACTTTCAGGACTCCAGCATGACAATAACTACTGAATATGAGATAATAATCATAACACAATTGCGTGTGTAGTTTTACCCCATGCCTCATTTTATCTTCACAACAATCTGGCATGGTAGGTTAAGTCAAGTCAATAATGATTACTGAGAAAACTTCAAGGCTTTGGATGGAAGGGTGGAAATTATTACTAGGGTTGAATGAAAAGTAATGCCTCCTCCTTCATTACTTGGGTTTGGATGGGAATATTTTAATTAATCAAACGCAGATATAATTCTTAGAATGTGCGCTTTAACTACCACTATTCACTTTTCCACATAACCACCAGACAATCAGATACATTTATACCAATGATGAACAAGTTTTCTGAAGCCGTCACGGAAGAAGTCGACACTCTGTTTCTGCAACCAGCATCTCACAGTTCTCTCAACGTCTTCATCAGAAGCATAATGATGTCCCACAGATCTTCTTTTATTATCGGGAACAGATGGAAGTCAGACGGTGCTAAATTTGGACTGTATGGAGGATGTCGTATGGTGATGAGATCCAGTCTCTGAAGTTTCAAGTCTATGCACTTTCATTTCAGGCATCAGCATCCTGGGTACCCATCGTGCACAGATCTTCCGATAGCCAAAGCAATCATGCGACCCACACATTCTTGTGAAATGCCGATTATGCTTAAAATTTCTCTCTGAGTAATACAACAAGCGTACTGAATCAATTTGTCAAACTTTTGCTTGTGAAACTTGGTGGGTGCTGTCACAGGATGTCCAACTCTTTGTTTGTCACGCAAGTCAGATGTTCCCACCTCAACACCTTTAAACTTACCTAATGACACAACAGTACTCACATCAACACAATCACCATAATTAGCTTGCATTCTCGGATGAATCTCCTTTGGGGTGACACCTTCTGCTGTCAAGAATTCAATGACTACATGTTGCTTAAGTCGCATTGACCGACCGTCCACACAGGGTTCTATACTTTGCACTTTAACAACACAACCATTCAATGCTAAGGCTTCCCTCCAAAATGGAACTGTAGAGGAGAGTCTACTGAACAAGCCAGTACCTGCCGCATACCAGTACTGCCATGTGTTGAGGAGTTACGAAGGTGGAGGCATTACTTTTCATTCAACCCTCGTATAACCCTCAGGTGTCATTGGATTGCTGTTCCTCAGATTTCCCATCATTGGCTATGCCATCTAGAACTGCGGTACAATATCTGGAGGTTCCCATCGATAGACTTTAAACTAAGAGGTACGTGTCCATTTCCGTTCAAAATCACACAGAGTGCAGGTTAAGAATACATGGATTTTGAGGGAAAGAGGTGTAACTAAAGTAAAAAAGTAATGGTGTCCTGTTATGCTTTGGGAAACTGAAGTAGTACTCTTTTGCCCACTCCCTATTGCTTCTGGATACTCTTCTAAATTGTGAATACGATACACTAGATTGCTTCTTGGCATTTTAACATCATAAGTCCAGCTGATCTCAATAAATCCCACAGTGCTGTTTTGACATCTGTGAAAGCAAGCCTAGTGGGGCTTAATGGGACTTGCAGCATTAAAAATGCTGAGAAGCAGCCTGACACGTTTTTGCCATACTCCTGCTTCTCTCGGAATAAGATAAAATAGGAAGAGGCAAACATGGGAATAGTTGTAGAGTTTTTCCTCAGCATTTTAATATCATAATGGATTCTTCTTAACTTTAAGATCTGTGGAGTTTGGGTTGTTTTGGGAACTGGAAGAGTTAGTGTCACTTTGTTTTAATGTCTCCTGTTTTCCTTCTCCACTCCATGGCAGGGGATCTGGACTTTAAAAATAAAGAACACTTTGGTGCAGTCATCTGTGTAAACTGTCTGAATAACCAGTCTAAGTACTTTCCCAATGTTTACCTCCAGGAATTTGAGTTGTTTCCCGAGGGAAAATGCAGTTTTCAGCAGGAGGAGAAAGGCAAAATCCTGATGATTTTGGCTGAAACAAGGAGAATAATATATTTGCTTGAGTTGTTCAACAAAAGATTGTTCAGGAATTGGAAGGACAAAGTTTGATATTCCAGAGTAATCTGATTGAAACCATGGGGTGTAAGTTGGTTATGACTTTATTTTATTTTGTTGGGAATGTTCTAAATCTACAAGGCCTGAACCCTCTTTAGCAGAATGATCACATTACCAGAAATAAAACTGTCTCATTTTTTCCATCCCCTTACTATTACAGTTATTCTTCTCTTTTATATTAGCCTATTTTAATATAAAACAGGCTAATATTAATAGAGGACTGACTTGGTTTTTTGCAAACTTGTTCGTGCTCTTTTTCATATTCTAGTTACTACTCTTAATTTCCACATGAGACCTGCATGTCATCCTTCACAGAAGATTTCAAGGCATGCTACCTGCCTGCTGATTCAATTGGATTTCCTTATTGCTTTTGCAGTGAATAAACTTTCTAAACCTCTGGGGAACTGTGGACCAGATTTCCCTGGAGCATAATTTGAAAGCTCTGCAGGACTTTATCATACGATAGCTTTGTTACATGATTGCACATGATTGTTACATGATTTACTTTCGATATCTCCTTTCCCCACGATATTGACTGTTTGCTGGTAGCTAGCTAGTGGACCATATTTCACTTTCAGAAAGCCTCCGTAGAAACACAAAAGACAACCAGCCTTATCCAAATTACATTTGCTTATAAATTGAACGCATGAACAATTGAATGGATCTATGTTGAATCTGCTGACTCTGGCATCACTCTGTGTGAATATTTTGCATTAACATCTGTAAGTGTGAATGGTTCCATACAACTGGAAACCCTACACAAAGCCTTAGCAAATACTGTTATGTACATGAAGAACATACATGTATAGTATGTGTGGAACCAAGATAGAAGTCTTGACACATCAGGTTGGTCTGCTTTTATCTTCAGTTGACTTGTCCTAATCATAGTTGAAGAAAACTAATCTCTATTAATATGAGGCTAGCAAGACAAAGGGGAGTCTGGAAAACAGAGTACTTTAATATCAGTATGCTTGGGACTCTTAAGAATCAAATTACAGTATCTGATTTCTTAAACATAATGCTATTTTTTTCAAAGTCTCCCATAATATTAAATTTGTGGTGCTGGAGTTGGAGCCTTCCAGCTCCCATAAAGAGTATTTATGGAACAAAAATGAAGCAGAATTGAAAGAAGTTAGCCCTTACGTCTGGAGAGGATCCACACATTCCTTTTCTCCAAGTAGAGTTTTGGAGAAAAGAATGAAGAAATCTGAAAAACTACTGAAGTGATGTAAACACTGGAAATTCTCTGGATGTGTATTTAGTCTATGGCTCAACTCAAATGGGAAACATGAAATACCTTGGACAAAGAGGAACATGAAATACCTTGGGCCAAAGGATTTCTGCTAATGATTTCTGAAGCTAATGATTTCTAAGAATGTTGCCCCATTGGTTTAAGTAATCAGCTTTCCTCTATTATTTCTTACCATTAGTATTGTTATCTGTTTTTCCATCCTAATTTTGAGACTTTTTAAAGATATTGCTAATTGCTTTTTCATTTAGGGAGTAGAATAAATAATATTTTCCATGTCAGAGTTATTTCCTTTCCATTGAAAGATATAGTTTAATTCTGCTCAAAATGCTACAGATGGTTTGTTTTATATTGCTGTCTGAGGGTGTGGGTTTTTTTTTTTTTTTGTCTCCTGAGGAACTCATGAGAACCATAAGTTCTCAGTACAAACCATTTACACATTCGGCTTACATAATCAACAGCTGTGATGTTATACTGTAGGAAAAAAAGAAGTGAAACATATTTGTAAAATCTAAGATTGAATTCATGGGTTGCCCTTTTCCCCTCTTGCAAAGTATTTCCTGTTGGAAGCAGGCAAATAATAAACAGATGCATATTCTGCAATGTCTATTTGTTTTTAGACCTTAGTAATTTTGAAATGTAAGCTACTTTCTCGATATCACACTTTACAGACTGGCCTAACAAACTCTTTTGCATTCAAATACCAAACAAAAAGTACCCATTAAAATAGACAATGAAATAGAAAAATAATAATCTTGAAAAAAAAATCTCATCTCCTTGCTTTTTGTGTCAGAAACTGGCTGTTCTTCAGAAAAATCTGCTGCAATGGCAAACCTGAATTTTGGGGTCAAAGTACCTGATTGAGGAACTGAGTAGCACAAATTGAAAATCTGTCAAATTTCAAACATTGGACAACAGTAGTTTTAACTTCAAAAATAAAAAATAAGCTCATTCTACATCTACACAAACAACCACGTTTCACAATGGCATGTTTATTAAAAACATTTTCCATCGAAAACACAGATAATAATTACATTGTTTGTAGAACTGTTAATACTGTGGGATTTTTTTTATAATTTAAGGATTCAAGAGAGGAAGACAAGAGAGAGCAAGAGAACAAGAACACTCAAGTCGCCCAGCCATTTGTGTTTGAGTGTGTGTGTGCATAGAAAACAAAAGCCAGCAACCAGAACAAATTCCAATCAAAATCAAATCAGTTGCATATGGTGGAGATGATGGAACTGTTCCCCTTTCCTCCAAATGGCTCTGACTTTTTCTCAGAACTGTATGACATAAAACTCTCTTCCTCTCTCCAGTGAAGGAATAAGGCAGGGGTGAGAGAACAGCAGACTGCCAACGTACTGAGTAGCAGAATCCAAGGTAGGAGAAAGAGGAGAAAACAGAAATGCACAAGGACACGCAGATCAATGGGTGAAGTCGAATGCAAACTGAACAGAAAGACATCTTCCATGACCCATGTCCCTTCTGCAAAGCAGGCACTGAACAGGAGAATACCTTTCAGATCTGGAAGAAGCCATGTTTCCAGTGCAAACATGGCACCCCAAAGAATTATCACTTGCAGACATAGCTCCAGAATGCAGCCCTACATCGGGGTCTGCTGATGAAGGGCACTGTTTATAACCCTACAGAGCTTCTTTGCAATTCTGCCCAACACCAAAAAAGAGAGAAAGAGGTTCGTGTACTTTAAAAAGACTTACATAGCAGAGAATTATGCCATGTGTACACTGTAACATAAATGAAAGCTACATTTATCAAATGTTTACTTACTATATTTTCATTGTGTCTTTCTTTCAATACTGTTGAGGTGGCACATGCTATCCCCATTTCCATGGTTTATCATAATCACAGACACCCTTGTGATGATAGACTCACTGAGCAACAGCAAACGGACCAATCCTAGCTGATGTGTTTCCAGATTCAATTTGGGTCCCCTCAATCTCAATCCAAAAATTTACACCATCACATGTGTTAAGAGTAGAGGTCTCTTGGCCTCTATGTCCAACAAATAGACTGTGAAATTGGCACAGGCTATTGAACCACTGAAGCACTGTGTCCTGTCCCCTACATCATGCTGCTCCAACGTCAAATGGAGCCACCTCCTTCTTGGAAGCACAGGACTGTGTGTCTGGATGTTTGGATAGGACCTAAAGGAAGGCCATCCACGGTAAAGACTGATTGAGTGGGTGCGAGGGAGATAAAAATATGGTTTTAATTCAGAGACACAAGTCTAAAGATAAACATGATTGGAACCTTATAATGGAACAATATCAAAATGAAGTTGCAACGCAGTGATATATATTGGTTCCCAGCCTGTGTTTAGTCTGGTCCCAAAGCACAAAGTCTATATTAATAAAAATAAAAGGGCAAAGAAAGATCACAATATGTACACTCTATACAAGTGAGAGAACATTATGTACTCTTCTTTAGCACCATGGGTTCTCATTGTCCAGACTAACTGCTATAGTGCTAGGGCTTGGAGGGAAGGAAGAATGAAAAAGAAGCATGTATCTGGCACTTGGAAGGCAAAAATGATGGGCTATTTGTAGAGTGTGGCTTACTATCCACTTGAAAAATCTCCCAAAATGAGACCTCCTTCAAATAGCAAACTCCTTAAACAGAACTCTTATTAGTTCTCAAAGGAGATAACAACAAAAGTGACAAGAAAAACATTCAACACTTTAGAAAATTGGAAAAATAAAAACCCTAACCAAGTAACAAATGCTGTTGGTTGCAACTTTTTTTTATAAATGTCAATGTTTTGAGAATCTCTAATGTACACAACTCTTTTTTTGTTTAATCAATACTTACATTATTGTTACATCAATAGAATTATAGAAGAAGAGCTATATAGAGTTTAACTACTGAAAAGAATGGAGCTATGCAATCAGTATGTTAGGTACTCTGACTGTTGAAGCTGAACAATGGATAATATGTGGAGTAATGTTGCAACCAAGAGTAATTGCCACATGGCAACTTTGGCTGAATTCACAAGGAGCAGCGAACTCCAGCTTCCAGCTCACACACTACAGTACATGAGCAGTGTATTATGCACTACATCATCCCTTTTTCTCCATTGAAGGAGTCCCAGAGAAGAGATTTTAAGCTTCCACTTCTGTTTTTACAAAACCATGTTATTGGTTCTGACCAATTAAGAAATTGTGATTAGTGTTAGCTATAGTTTATTGAAATAAGCCAAGACAAATAACAATTGTATGTTGATTTATTTCAATAAGCTATATTTAACATTACACATAATCTACTCTGGCTCAAACAGAGCTGCAGTTGGTTCAAAAATTGGGATAAACTTCTACAGTAGACTCCCTGAAATAAATGCAGTTTCTTAGGTAAAGATAAAGCTTTCCCCTTGACATGAAGTCTAGTTGTGTCTGACTCTGGGGGGTGGTGCTCATCTCCATTTCTAAGCTGAAGAGCCAGTTTTGTCCGTAGACACCTCCTAGGTCACGTGGCTGGCATGACTGCATGGAGGGACGTTACCTTCCCACTGAAGTGGTACCTATTGAATTACTCACATTTGTATGTTTTCAGACTGCTAAATTGGCAGAAGCTGGGGCTAACAGTGGGAGCTCACCACGCTCCCCAGGTTTGAACCATCAATCTTTTGGTCAGCCAATTCAGCAGCTCAGCAGTTTAACCCGCTGCACCACTGGGGGCTCCCAATTTCTTATGCTAATGTAAATACCATTTACTTCAAAAAGTCTACTTTAGTTGGGACTAAAATGGATTTTCTCCATTACAGTTGGCTAGACTTATAAAAATAAGATTCTTTTCCAAATAGGAAACAATTTCCTAAACTATTGCTAGGATAGATTTCTCTTCAGTTTACTGCTGTGTTAATCACATAAATGTAAAATATTCATTGATTGAGGTTAAAAAGTCAGTGCAATTATGACAAGTCCATTTAGAAGCTACATATGATGAATCAAACATGGCATTATTGAACACCAAAGGATTATCTTCACAATCAGTACAATGAAAGGAATGTGACCACTGGGAAATTGTTGGGATCAGGGATTTCTGAAGTGCATTAGAGATGGAATCGCATCAGCTTGTCCAAAGAAAATGACTCCTTTATCATTTTTGTTTTAACAAAACCAACCTGTTCATTGAAAAAGTCCCAACCATTTTCCTTCTTCGCAGATGTTCACAGCTGGCCTCACAGCCTCAGTCTGTATATGGCAGTCATTCCATGCTTTCCTATTCAAGGCAAGAGGCTGACTCCCAACTCCAGCTATGAGGTAGTCTTTAGATTTCTGACAACAGCAGAAGTAACAGCTACACATTGGTCTCCAATTCATTGATTTCAATAGTACAGTGGTCTTTACTGCAGCATTTCTCTGTATGAGTTTCTGTGGGAATTTCTTCTTCCTCCACTTGGATAGGTATGTGATGGTGTAATGACTTTGATGACTCAGATCCATGTGGCTCATTCATGCTTTTCACACAACCATTTCTCTGGTACATGATCTGGTGGATACTAATGGGTTTTGGTTCACAAATCAAAGGCACCTACAAATGGAAAAAGGGGTTCTGATTAACATTCCCCATCAATATTACATTGGCCTCTCTCTCTTTTGTGTGCATGTGATTATTATGATTTTTAAGTATAACGTATTCAAACCAAGATGGTTATGTTGAGGTGCTTTAAATTACACAGACATTTAAGAAACTGATAGTTACTTATTTATGAACAGATGGACGATATAAGGTTCTTCCAGACAAAGCAATTTTATTTGAAGTTGCAGTATTTGTAATTCTCATTTTTTTTAAAAAAATATTCAAACAAGGTTTCAGTTATCCCAGACTTTTTTTCCCTGACCACTTGGGAGAGCCTATATCAGCACCTGCCAAGTGGGCAAACCTCAGAAGGGGCCTTTAGCAAAGGGTTCCCTGGACCTCCCCTTCCACAGTTGATTATATCATCCTCTGACCTCAAGAAAGTGGTGTTGTGAGGAAGAGTAGACACCACTGCCTACCTCCTTGCTGGGAGCAAAGAGGTCAAGGAAGACAAGCAGTTCCAAGTGACACTGCTTATGAAAAGGTAGAACTAATGGACTGAGGATGAATGATGATGTCTTACCTCTAAAACCTGGAGCTGTGATACTTCAAAGTATCTTATTAATCTGTTCTTACCTCAGATCCATCTTTGGTGAATTCTTTTCTGCAGATATGTGCCATTATGCCAGCTGCAAGAGCATCCCCTAAAACATTGATCATTGTGCGAAATCTGTCTCTGTCAAACAAAGAGAGGGCATTAAAGAAGTTTCTGTTCCTTCTTATGTCAACACTCACTCCTAAACATCTCTGTTACATTTGTGTAGAAATTTGCTAAAGAAGCGTAAGAGGCATCCTTGCCTCCTACCTGCTGCCTATTGCCTGCTACCTGCAAGACAAGATGAATTGATGGGCCACTTCCTAGCAGATCCAGTGTTGCCTCCTCCAGGCAATGACTGACCGATCTGCTCGCTTACCTGCCTTCCTTTCTTTCCTCTCACTCACTGCAAATGATGTCCTTGAAGGGCATCTGGCTACAGGAAAGGAGATGGATGAATCTCCTTTGATCACCATTGGAACAAAAATGGCCATGTTGGTGAGGGTTCCGCGTAACATAAAAGGTGGATTTTTGGAGAAAATTGCATCACTGTCTAGTCAATACAAAAATCCTTACCTTTGCAGAAAAATGGGTTGCAATACCATGAGTCCAATGTATGCCATGGCAATTCACCAACAAGATTTTAGTCTTTATGTTTGGCCCATTCTCTGGGATTTACAGAGAACAGTGTGAACTACTGACACTAGGGGCTCAACATTATTGGTTATTGGTTCCTTGAACAGTGCTATTTTCTATCAATTTAAAGTTGTGTTTCTCCAACTTAGAATTGTTTTCTAGATGGACTACAAAGCTCATAATAAGATAATTATTGTTTGGAAACACCGAAAGTCCCAAACATCTGGGCACTGTCTGGTTGGGAAAGGCTTTCCTAAGGCGTGAGATCTTATCTCAGAATCTATACAACCAAGTTTGCTATTCATGTACAATTCTTTTCTTCATTTTTTGCCATACCAACATGTACCTGTCACTTATTCTCCAAATATCTTGGTTATTTAAAGGTTAATAAGTAATCATAAGTGTTGCTTGATAGGACACTGATCCACTGCAAGTGTATAGCTACAAAGATCAATCTGTAAATTATGAGCGGAAAATTCTTATTAGAAATGTTTTGAGAGCCTCTTACCATACTCACTACACTATTTCTGCCTTCTCTCAGTCACGAAGTATGGTCTGTACAAAAGAACCAGAGATCCCTGCCATACTCTGTTAAAATGATTAGGTAGCTAACAAGCATAAGGAAGGTGGATAGGAAGCTAGTTCCTCCCTGGATTTTGTGTAAATAGGATCCAGCTCCATTCAACTAGCATCATGTTGCTGGTTTCTGGATTCTATTTAATTGGCAACAGTAATCCCTCAGCGGGTTGATCTGGAACTAATTTTGTGAAGTGTAGAATCTGGTACAACACCTTCAGAGACTTTATAATGAAATAAAGAAATCTTCTTCTTCCATCAGTCCAGAAATATTATTATACGTCTGTGCATAATGAAAGAAGGAATCTTGAGCCAAGTACTAAAAATAAATCTGGAACATGTTTTCAAGTCAAATACAGGAGAACAAGGAAGACAAGAAAACACATTGTTCCCAACTGTAAAAATATTAGACGGTTTGTTTTTTTCGTGTCAGGAGCGACTTGAGGAACTGCAAGTTGCTTCTGGTGTGAGAGAATTGTCCATCTGCAAGGTCGTTGCCCAGAGGACACCCAAATGTTTTACCATCCTGTGGGAGGCTTTTCTCATGTCCCCACATGGGAAGCTGGAGCTGACAGATGGGAGCTCACACTGCTCCCTGGATTCGAACCGCCGACCTTTCGATCAGCTGTTCTGCTGGCACAAGGGTTTAATCCATTACACCACCAGGGACTCCTATTAGAATTTAGTTTCTTCTGTATCTATGAACTGAATTAGTTTAGTTCATAGATACAGAAGAAATCAGGGGACAAGAATGTAACTGGAGATGAAAATTAGTATGCTTGGCATTATATTTAATCTCTTCCTATTATTAATCTTTGTTGTTACGTCAGCTACTATGTTTTTGTTTTAAAATCTTTTTTCTCTTTGTAGACACATATTTTGTAGCTGTAAAGTAGGAACAAATTAATTCTGACTTTCAGCTTTTTACAGATCAAATGTTAAAAGGGAAACAATTTCAAACTGTACCCTTTAAACTGTTTTGTAGAACACAAAAATTGGGGGAAAGGGCAGGTGTATTAGCTGGGACCATTCTTTGTACATTATTTGCAGCTCAGCCAAGCTCATCTTGGCAGACCTACTTTAAATCTGAAATGTATCATGTGATCTCCTGATTTTTCCAATGCAAACAAGCACAGCTGAAAACTCCATCACCTTAGTTAATATATTGATGTGGGTTATAAAACTGAAATCCGGGAACATCCAGATGTTTGGCTTAACAAAGTGCAGGATGGTCCAAGAGCAGCTCTGTCCAGGTTTTGATTTGCTTAACTTAATGGAGAATAAAGTTGGGTTGAACCACAAAGGTTTTTATATGCTGTTGAGAACACATGTGTGAGCAAATATATTGGTTTGACTGCTGTCTGTTCTGCTTTCCTACTGTCAAACCTGAAGGTAACCTCAGTGCTTGTGGATATATCGCTCATGTGATAATGTGGAGCCTGAATCAAAGTGTCTTTGGGGGAGGAGAATCCTCTCACAAGTTCTCTGGGGTGGGTAGGGGAAACAGAAGGTCGGGGTGTTATGTAAATTTCCCATATGCCCAGGGTTGTGGAAGGGCACTGCGGAAATTTAAACAGAGTAACTTTCACATTAAAACGTGGGTCTCCCAGAATAGAGGACAGCTAATGCAGGGGAAATGACCAAAAACAGTCATGTGTTGAAGGCCTGTTTACCTTCCTCCTTCATGTGTAGAAGTGCGTAATGACAGAAGGAGTGCACAGGTGAGCATTGCTGAACCTTCTAACTTTTGAATTATTTATGTCATAAGTCCATGCATTGCTACTTCTCTCTCTCTCTTCCTGCCTTTCATTAGCTATTGGAATCAGAAATTGAAAATCCTGTAAGAGCAACTGATTGCAAGGAAATCTTCTGAACTTCTTTGACATCCTGCTACACATGGTTTGAACGCTGAATCAGGTCTATCAGGTTTTATTTAGCCCTAAGGTTTGACTATGAGAGTGGGAAGAATAAGACATATGCCTTCAAAGGCAATCTGCTAATCAGATCTGAAATAAGGACAACGTAGGTAGCAGTGGAGGGGAAGTATATATTTAATTTTGAATTACCAAGTTTTTTATAGTATAAAACATGCAAACAAAAGAAAATATAAAAACAACAGCGATAGTTAACAAAACTACTAACTTACTACACCACACTGCACTCAACTGCTAAAATGCTATGTTACAAAAATAAAAAGTGAGATTGGGGAGGCAATTGCACCTTCTATTTTGTCCCCTGAATACTAACCACTGTACCTAGGTCTCATAGACTATAGAAAGTGGCAAACTTTACACTTAAAAACATTATGTCAGCTTCAGTGACGAAATATGAAACGATTACTGTCATAACTCATCCCATTAAGACAATGCCTTGAAGCAGATGAGTCTTTGCTCTGATTCAGTAAACCAGTTGCTATTTGGTTAATATGCTCATTTTATCAATGGAGAACAGAACTAGAAAAATCATGCAACAAAATTATTGGTAGGTTAGACTATTGTTTTCATTGATAATCCAATCTTTTGGATCACCATGAACAGTAACTAACAAAACTGCTCATTCCTTACACAGTCTGCTAGGTTTAAAGATGGTGGAAAATCTCAAAAAGTGTTCAGTTACTTACAATGCCCAATCAACAGCAATTATTAGAGTTATGTCATCTGTAGGCAGACCCACTGATGTCAGGACAATGACCATGGTCACAAGACCAGCTTGTGGGATCCCAGCTGCACCTATGCTGGCAGCCGTCGCTGTGATGCTTTAACAAACAAGGAAAAGGTTATTAACAATTTAACATAGAAGACATCTTTCAGGAGCTCTGCATGTATTACAGCCAGATTTGGGCCCTTCTTCACAATACATAACAATGTTTAGCCTAATATACGACATAATCAAATCATGTCTAGACAGGCTCTCAAGAGAAGAAATCTTGTGCCACTGTCTCTTGGTAATTCAAAATATGCTTACAGTTAAATTGTCCTGAATCTTTCATACTGGGCAAGCTTGGGATATCATATAAAAGAAGAAGATGATCCAAATAATTAATTCAAGGGAGTTTGTCAGGGAGTAAGATTAAGTCAAGAGATCAATCTGAAGGCTAGATTTCATTATGGATTTTTTGGTGAACCCTTATGGCAGGAGTCCACAAACTAAGTCCTGTGGGCCAGATGTGGCCCTCTAAGGTCATTTACTTGGCCCCTGCCCTAAACTTTAAACTTAGGGTCACTCTAAGTCTGAAATGACTTGAAGGCACACAATAACAATGTCAATTAACTTGACTCTCTCATATGCCAAAAGCAAGCCCACGCTTCCCATTGAAATACTGGTAAATTTATGTTGGTTAAAATTGTTGTTCGTTTCAAATATTGTTTTGTTCTTTCATATTTTTTGCACTACAAACAAGATATGTTCAGTGTGCATAGGAATCTGTTCATGCTTTTTTCAAACTATAGTGTGCCCCCCCCAACAGTCTGAGGAACCGTGAACCAGCCCTCTGCTTAAAAAGTTTGAAAACCCCTGCCTTATGGTAACATATTGCAACATGTGACAACATGCCAGATGCAAAGCACCAGATAGAGATTGTGCCTTACTAGGACTATTGAGCTATGTTTGGCTTGATGGGACACTCACATGTAGACCAGGCTTGCTCTAATATGACCTTCAATAGAGAGCAAGGGAAATAATTGCATCAACACTAATTGCTGGACTCTCTTTGCTCTTAGCAGTAATTCCCAGAAACCACCAGAACTAAAAAATAGAAACCATAGCTGCATAAATGCGGCCCAGCATAAAGCTGATTAGTGTGATGCTTATGCAAGCAGAATGACAGTATATCTAATCTAGCAACAATATCAGCAGTAATTTCAATGTTTCACAGAGGGTTTGTTTTAGGGGATGAGGGTGGGTTTTGATAATTATTTATCCCAGCCTCAAGGGGAATGTATTTCACCTACTTCATCCCCTTCCTAGTCCAGAAATTATATGGCAAGTAACATAGGATTCCTGGCAAGTGTTCTACAGTTGCCACCCCCATCCTCTTTTAGCATTTACACAGAACAGCTGGCAGGGGACAGTTAACAAAAAGGAAAAAATAATATACTTTGCTTATATGTTAATACCTTTTTACATTTAATGATTTAAATGTTTGCTATTATTAGATCTAGTAGTAAACATGTCCCAAATCTTTGATTTATATATTTAAATTTTTAAGTTTGTTATTTTTGACTTGTTCTATAAGTACACCTGATGTTTTTATTTTATTTTATTGTTTATGATTTGATCTGTTTGTTATGTTATGCCGGCATTGAATGTTTGCCAGTTTTCTGTTGTAAACCTCCCTGAGTACCCTTGGGGAGATAGGGCAGTATAAAAATAAAGATTATTATTATTATTATTATTATTATTATTATTATTATTATTTTCTACAGTTTGGGCTCTAAGCTAATATGAACTTGTGAAATCTAGAGTTTAACATAAACTCAGGATCCTCCAGGATCTCACCCTGAAACAGGCAAAATAACAAGAAAGAAGCTTCTGCCCATAGCAGGCTCCAAGTGCCATTCTCTAACCTGCTGAGTAATCAGACATTGCCACATAATAATGGGTTTTGGGAAAGCATCAACAGAAGAAGTTGTGGCTTACAGGATCATCTGATTCTGAGTCTTGTTATTCTAGAAATTTACCCTTGCAAAGACACAAACTAAGCTTGGTGTAACTCACAAGGAAAAATGAGAGTTTAAGTCACATATGATGAAGCCATTTTCAAAACTATGAATCACCCAAGGGCACGACAGAAGTCAAGGGTTGTTTGTTTTCCTACTTCATTTCTTCCCACAGCCACTCTTCTAAACTATAGGGGCAGTTCATTCCCTACATATTCATTTCAATGATATTTGCCACCATCTGCTACAGTAAAAAGGGCATACTTTAGGACATTTAGTTCAGGCTATACTTGAAAACCACAGCAGTGAAATCTTGAAAAGAATGGTAATATGCAACAACACTCAGTCTAGACATAAGAAATAAAAGAAACGAGAAGTACATTTTTTCAAAATGTATGATTCACAACTGCACCTCCTAAGGAAACAATGGATAAAGAAACTCATGAACAAAGCAATTTCCAATTCATATCAATGGTCAGTGGAAATAATCCATAGAACTGTCTAACTGATAAAATACTATTTTATAATTTTCTGAACAAATATTTCCTTCTAAACCAGTGTTTCTCAACCTGGGGGTCGGGACCCCTGAGGGGGTCACGAGGGAGTGCCAGAGGGGTCGCCAGAGACCATCAGAAAACACAGTATTTTCTTTTGGTCATGGGGGTTCTGTGTGGGAAGTTTGGCCCAATTCTATCATTGGTGGGGTTCAGAATGCTCTTTGATTGTAGGTGAACTATAAATCCCAGCAAATACAACTCCCAAATGTCAATGTCTATTTCCCCACAAACTCCACCAGTATTCACATTTGAATGTATTGAGTCTTCATGCCAAATTTGGTCCAGATCCATCATTGTTTGAGTCCACAGTGCTCTCTGGACGTAGGTGAACTACAACTCTCAAACTCAAGGTCAATACCCACCAAACCCTTCCAGTATTTTCTTTTTGGTCATGGGAGTTCTGTGTGCCAAGTTTGATTCAATTCCATCGTTGGTGGAGTTCAGAATGCTCTTTGATTGTAGGTGAACTACAAATCCCAGCAGCTACAACTCCCAAATGACAAAATCAATCCCCCAACCCCACCAGTATTCAAATTCAGATGTATCGGGTATTTGTGCCAAATTTAGTCCCGTGAATGAAAATACATCCTGCATATCAGGTATTTACATTACGATTCATAACAGTACCAAATGACAGTTATGAAGTAGCGAGGAAAATAATGTTATGGTTGGGGGTCACCACAACATGAGGAAGTGTATGAAGGAGTCACAGCATTAGGAAGGTTGAGAAACACTGTTCTAAACAATTTCTCAGTGTATATTTATGAATGAAGAAGTTTGAAGTAGAGTAGTATAGAACTTTCTGAAATAGTCAGGAAAACATTGCGCTATTGTGTTAAGGCTGCTGAATAATGGAATTGGTTTATAAATGGTTTTCTTACCTTATGGTGATGATCTGTCCAAAGTCCAGCTCATAATTATTTACTTGAGCAATGAAAATGGCGGCCACTGCTTCATAAAGGGCAGTCCCATCCATATTGATTGTGGCCCCCACGGGGAGTACGAATCTGGCAATTCTTCTGTCCACGTGGTTATTCTCTAACAAGCACTTGAAGGTTATAGGCAAAGTGGCTGAGCTGTCAGAATAAATACAAAAATGTTGAATTTGGAAAAGAAATGTAAAACTGTGGCTCTCAAAATGATTAAGCAATTATTATGGGAGAACAGGATGCTTTATTAACAGTGTGGAACCAAGCTATGCAGATTTCTAGAATCATGTTCATGGGAAGCATGGCTTTTATTAATCTTACACATTAGCCAATGGCAGCATCAACTGCCAAGTTACAGGAAAATAAACATTTCTTTTTCTTCTGCCAAGAAACACTTCTGAGAAGAGGTTGTGCATATGCCAATGGAAATATGGCAGATATGTGTTAGTGTGTCTTTGATTTACTGAAATAAGATAGCTGTCAAGAAAGTGGTAAATAATATAAGCACAACCATTATATTATTATAAATTATATAATTGAAAACCCTTAGGAGTTCTAACAAAAAATAAACAATTCCTGTTGATTTTTCCCAAATCAAATGAGAGATCTTATTTTATTTTAAAAGTCAATTCATTTTTTGTGACTTGATTTTAAAAGTCAAGAACTCTCAGCAGGTTAAGGTTCTATGTGTCTAATTACATATGCTAGTGTCTGTGTATTTTTGGAGAATAGAAGGTTTGCTTTGATCATATGATGATTGATCTTATCTCAGGTTCACAAGATGTTTCTTGACTAACCACTCATTAGATGTTATATTTTCCATAGACAAGCATTTTTCAGTGTCAGGGAAGGGTAGTATGTCACATGTTGTTGGATGGCTACCGTTATTTTCTATGCTAGATAAGGCTGACGGGTATTGTAGTTCAATAACATCTGAAGACAACATATCTCCGGCCTTTGCCAACCATAGAGCTCACCAGATGATCCTAAGCTATAGCTTCCATCAAATTCAGCCAACATGAGAAATTGCTAAGGATGACGACAACTAGAGTTCAAAACATATGGGGATTCCACTTGGGAGGAAGTCTGTCTTGCATACTTCGGTTTTGCTATGTGGGACAAAGCTTTGCGAGCAATTAGGATTTCACAAATGTATATAAACATTCATTAAGAGACCAATTAGGATTTCACAAAATGTGTATAAACATTCGTTAAGAGACCAAAATGCTGCCAGTGTACATAAGACTATAACTGGACAATTGATACAGGCTATTAGCAAAGTCAGAAGTGGACAACTGTATTTTATCAGTTCAGCCACCATTTTTATCAAATGAGCACTCATCACTCAGTACCACTGATGAACTATCATCAGTGCATGTTGTAGACCAGAAAAATGTCCTGAAGGTTGTAACTCTCTCAGCGATAGAAACATCTTAGTGACTCAAAAAACATAGACAAGCACTCCTTTTTGGATGATGTTTTCCTAACTGTCAGGTTAGTAGTATGCAAACAGCAGTTGAAACTTTTGCTTCAACTGCTGCTATAATCTCCAAAACTTAGGTGAGAGTTAGCATATGACATGACTCAGAAGCTGTTTGAGCTTCAACAGAACTAGAATATTTAATATTACAGACTAATGCTACACGAGAAGCATTACAGAAAATGATAATGGTGTCTCTCAGTTCCCTAATGTTGTCTTTCAACTCAGAGATGTTACTGAGAAAGCACATGAAGTATAAAGAGGTCCAAGAGATTTCTTTTCTGAGTAACTTCCTGGAGACAGCCCTATATAAAAATTAAGTTTTACTGTCAAAGTCAGTATTGAGAGCCACAAGTCTAACTAGAATGAGACAGCCAGTGAAAACAAATCAGGGTTCCTCTTTGCCACAAATTGAGTTGATCCTAGAGGTACTAGTCTGTCTTTGTGCAGTTCAAGCAATTAGCTGAAGAAGCCCTGCCACAGGTAATCGTTATCCGAGATGTATCAAGGTGAACATGTCTTTCAGGATTTCTACTCTTACCATATGCGTTGTGACCTAATGCTAAAGGGGAAGCCAGACTGAAATGGATCTAGATAATCAGCTTCAGTGAGATGCTTCAACCCAGCCCCTAGTTCTTCGGTGAGGTTATCTACAAATCATGTCTTAGACATTAACATTATGCAACGGCCTTTCTGTGAGTACTATTTATCCAGATACACATCAGTAGAAAGCACTAGTTCAGCATCCAAAAATTATCGCATGCTTTTCTGTTCACAATTTAATCATATCCAGCAAGACAGCCATTTCAAACATTCCAAAATTATTGATTCAATTATCTCATCTAACTCTGCCTTTCTAATGCATTTTGAACCTTGTTTGTGCATCACATTCAGCACTAACACTTTGGCCACAAGGTCTCCATTTGCACTCTGGGATGTCTCTATATGATATCAACAAACTCATTTCGATACTAAAACAGCTGAATTAATGTATTAATTACTACCAAAATTGCTAAAGTATTGCTGGCATAGGGTATCTGGTTTTATCCTGCTTCTTTTTTTATAGCCAGAATTATACAGTTAATCAGTTGGGAACATCTTGTATTACATGATCATAGGACAATATCAGAAGAAATGTACAACAGGGCACAACATTAGGTTGTCAGGACACTTCCAAACTTTCAGTATTTCTATTTGTCTAATGAAATAACATAATTCCCACAAAAAGGATACATTTTCCCAGCTCACTTTCTTCTTCATTTAAGAGATAAGTGTGGTATATGTCACCCTAAACACACCAACATTGAAAAACCAGAATGGTCAAACTTTCTAATATTTCACAAGGATTATCAATGTTTTTTTTTCCTTCTGATGCCTATCTCAAAGAGTCAAAAAAGTGAAACGATATAATCAAGTTCTGAAAATCTCACAACTGTCCATATTCAGAGTTGAACAGCCACAATGAGTTTGTTTGCTTTGTTGAGAAATGTCAATTTAGAATTAGCCTATAATTCTCCAAACCCCTGGGGTCAAGTCAACTTTTGTGAAGTATGACCCACCTCTTTCTGGTTACTAATGTTTATGATTTCTCCTACCATTTGTTCACCAACTGCTCCTGGGTCAGTTGGACTGTCTACAATAGTGTTTGTCACATCTGAATCCAGGGGTTGAGAGATCTGGTGTCTAAGTAAGAGAAACTGGGAATATGGGAATTAGAACATCAACAAAAGTCAGGAACTGTGAAATCAAATTCAGCGGATGATTCCTTCAATGATGATGATGATGTTGGAGGGCTGATATAATTTGAAAACAAAATGAATGCATTCCTATGCACTGCACATATCTTCTATGTAGCGCAAAACGTGCTTTAAAACTATACAATAATTAAAATGAAGACCAATTTTAACAAATATAAACTTATTAGTATTTCAATGGGAAGTGTGGGCCTGCTTATAGCTTATGAGATAGGATTGCTGTTGTTGCTGTTGCTGTTGTTGTTGTTGTTGTTGTTGTGTGCTTTCAAGTCATTTCAGACTCAGGTTGACCCTGAGCGAGGGCTGGGTCAATTACCTTGGAGGGCTGTATCCGGCCCTTGGGCCATAGTTTGAGGACCCCTGCTCTAGAATTTCATCCATTCTGTACAATTCATGGTACCTGGATGATGTGGCCAAAGCAATAAGCAAGGCTTGAAGAATCCCTCTGATGAAGACGATGGGGTTCTTCTTGGTGATGAAAAAGTACATCATTGGCAGAATAAAAAGACCATGGACCACCAGGCCACACACAACAGTAATGGCATAGAAGCCGAGCTTCTTTCCAATAGCTGATGGATCATCCATTTCCAAGATCTTACCAGCAATTAGGAAGACTATTCCAAATGGAAAATACCTGAGAAAGAGAAAGCTGTATGAATGAACACATCTACACAAAAATGGAATAGAACTAAGTAATATATATATAGACTATGTTTAGAGCCAGGTTGTACACGAAACAGGAGACATATGATTATTTTCCAGTGGTTTTTTAACTGAAGTCCACTGTTGAAGGACTATACCATTAATTGCTCCAGCTGCAATAAACAGTCCCTTTAAGTTGCTAATCTGTGGTGCCCCATACATTCTATAGGGCTTTCTTAGGCAAGAGATACTCAGATGTGGTTTTATCAGTTCCTTCATTTGAAATATAGTTCACAGCAGCTGGTAAATGACTGTGATCTCCAAGCATTAACCAAGGTTGACTCTGCTTAGCCTCCAAGATCAGACATTATCTGATATTTTTAGGATACTTAGGACACAGTAATTTTGTGCATATGCTGAAATTCCACAACAAACAGCATATTTGCAAACAAAAATAGCTTCTTCTCACAAGTTATGGACAAAAAACGAGACTACTTAACTCACAGGTAAAAGATAAAGCTAATAGCACTTCAGAGCTGAAACTGTTATCAAAGCATTGATCCCCTAACAGGAGTACAATTGGAAATAATGAGAATAATAGCAACTATGAATTTGGAAGCATAATCACAGGTCTTCTGCATCACATGTAGGTTAGTCCCTGAACCAATGATTCCCAAGCAGCTCATCAGGAGTTTCACAATCAGAAATTTGGGAATGGAAAACAAGCTTGCTTGAATGAGTTTCCTTCTTCATTACTAATTTCTTCCATATGCAGGCAGAAGATACTTGTGGTTGAGTTTTAGGATTTAATCTTAAGACCATGCACACCACTGCCTCACACAGTTCACCTTGAGGTTACCCAAAGTCTCCTACAGTGCATTGGACCCCCATGGCAGACATCAAGGGAATTATTGTTAGAGGACTCAGTGTTGATACTCAAAAGGGCATGATGATGACAGAAAGTTTGAAAACTTCAGATTCAGAAGAATTATTTAAATGAAATATGGCACTAACTTTGCACTTGAATTCCTATTGTTAATGTTCAGCAAGCCAGTGCTCATGGCTGACCCTTCTCATGGCTGTCCCTTCTTAATGCTGTCTTATTAGCAGCACTTTAGAGCTTTTGATTTCATTCCCTTTTTATTGCCGTTGATCTTTGGGACAACCATGCCATTGCATCACAACCTCTTTGTGTGAAGACTGTTGGTTGGTTGTTGTGCATAAAGCAAATTCACACACAGATGTTACTCGAGCATTGTAACTGGAGGTCAGCTGTTACTAACAGTGTTATGGATTTTGGGGAGGCACAAATAGAGGATGAAAGGAGAAACATGCCTAGAGGCTGTAGTGTTAAGCAAACCCTTGTCATGACTGCCTTCTGTCTGGAAATCTATATCCTCACTGTGAAAGATCATTTGGATCCATAATAGGTCTTCACAATCACTTATAGACCCACCACCAAGACTCTACCCTTGAAAGACAATCATACTTGGCTGTGAGTGATTGCCTGAAGAGCGTTATTCTTAAGTGCCTTCAAGCTGTTTCTGACTTACAGCAACCCATTGGGGTTTTCTGGGGCAGAGAGGGTGTGATTTGCCCACTCTGTGGGTTTCCATGGTCAAGTGGGGAATCAAATCTTAGCCTTCAGAGTTGTAATTACTCTCAAACCTCTACATCAAACTGGGTCTTCAGTTCCTTTTATGCAGCCTCATTTCATTGTTCAGGCCACCCCACTAAAACACACTTGAATGTGGAAGCAGCAATTATACCAAGCAGCACATTTACTCACCATACAGAAATAGCCACTATCTTCATGACAGATTCATTTAAACACTGGCAAAAACTGACCAAGGGAACTCCGCTGTTACCCATTCTGCCTAGCATTATTCCTGAAAACAGATAAAACACAATTATTCTGCTTTGTTCACTATTAAATGAGTTTTGATACATCAAACTCTGAAATGTGCACATAATGCTTATGTCTGAATAGCCAGATGGATACTGCAGTCTTAAAGTAAGACATACCTGCACACAACCCATACCAGAACTGATTGATGACACATTCTCTGATTTCAGACGCTATGCAAAAGAGCATATGTCGTCAATTATACAAAGATATTGAATGGACACAATATCTATGTTCTGAACTGAACTAGCCGTTGTCTATTGAAATAATGGGCATGATCGATGCACATGTTTTGATATTTCTTGGATTGCTGGGTCCAAATTTGGGACCTGAAGACAGGAGCTGCCTCATTCTGGGTTACAACTTTGCATTTTCTACACACCCCCATAATGAGTGTCATTCCCACTGCCACTTTGATCAGAAGTATGCATTTATTTGTTTATTTTACAGCCTCCTTTCTCCCAAAGCAAGATTCAAGGTGGTGTCCAAAATTCACAGTGTTGCTTGAGATTATGCTAATGCCCCATATTGTGAACCTCAGTTGATATCACAAAATCTAGCCAGTATAGATGCAAGGAAATGTGTTCTATAAATGTGTTCTAGCATTATAATCAATTTATTCTTAACCCCCATAGTAATGGTGATTGAAGCCTCAGTCATCCCACCCCTACTCCCTAAAGTCCATATAGCCATCCTGAAGGACCTAGAGATGTCTGTAAATTAAAAAAAAATCTAAAGAATTTTTTTAATTTCTGGTTTTTCCAATTTAGTAGGGGATGTGTCCCCAAACCCAGTGAAAGTGGAGGACCTATTGTACTTAGAAAAACACTAATAAATGGTGCTGCTGCCTCGTCCCCTTTTTCTTGTAAATTGCTGGGTTTATTGCAGGATGAAGAAGCTATAGTTGACATTGGGAACTGACACTGAACAAAAGAGTGCATCATGTGGAGTGCCAGAAAGCAACTGCATTGACGCACATAAAAAGAACCCTCTGGAATATAACAATATCCCCATCTGGTTTCTCTTTAAATCCACAGATCATTAATTGAAAGAAAAATACATGCTAGTTACTCAAGGAACCAGTTCAACAAACAGATACATTTCAAAATGATTAAGTCAAAGTGACTTCTTAATGGTAGTCTCTTCAGCAAATGTGTCTTGATCAAAAGTTCATCTTGTTCCATGTTGAATACGTAAATCAGATTTCATATCTTGCACTATATTTGATTCAAGAGGTTGATCTATCCATTACTCCTCATCGAGCCATCAATTGCAGATTGTACATCCACAATATGTTTTTCTTTTCAGCTAACAAAAATTTGAAAGATAGTTCAGTTTGTAAAGCCAGCTAGGGTTATTGCATAATGAAAGCTTTATTTAAGAAACAGGCAGTTGGAAATAATTGACACCACACTATAGTTGGATCAAGTCAATCAAAGAAGCCAAGGGCAGAGTCTGCAAAACCTGGTCAGAACATTAGATTACAGGGTGGCTTGGATGCTTCTCATTCAAAAAGGTCAAAGTTGACTTATGGCAAAAAAAAAAAAAACAAAAACACCTCACCAACAAAATGATTTTACCTGTCTATGAATTCAGAGTTAGAGAAGGAATGCTTGTATTCGACAGTGTATCTGGTTCTTAAGTAAGAAGACGGTTCAAATAATCTGGGCACGAATTGTAAAGGTCAAAACCAGAATTTGAATCGTGTCCAGAAATGACCAGCAGCCAGTGGAGCTGTTGCAACAAGGAAGTCACATCATTGTGCAATCCAATCCTATGAATTTTGCTCCCAAAGAGACTTGCTTTCAGATGTATGTTAAGATGGACTTCTTCCCAGCATGCTTAGGACTACGGCATAAATGTACTCTACTGTTTTTCAGTTGCCATCATTGGAGCACATTTTTGCATGTTAGGTTCAGCTGGCAATCAGTGCCATTCTCCCTTCTGGAATTATCTGTAATTCTTTCACCATGGGTGATACTCCATTGTTCAAGTAGCAGCACATTAAATATACATTCAAAATTCGGAGGAACAATTGCAGTGGGCTAAAGGATCCCACCTTCTTCCCCACGACTATCTAGGAGCTACACAGATTATCAAAACAAGTATTGGGGCCATAGCAGTACATCAAGGGCATGTGCATGAATGTCATACAAAAAGTTGCTGAATATGTCTTTTGCAACAACTGAAAGATGTTATACATGATTTTGTCACTCACACGATTCCAGGATGAACTGGACTTTTAGTGAAAACAGTGTGCTGATCAGCAAGATGTCAAGGATGCTGATCTTTGTGTTATCCAAGAGAAATACCACCTTCTTGTATAACAAGAGGGGTAGGGGATGCAAGCAAAAAGAACATATAAAAAGTGACCTGAACACTAGGTTCACAGGATTGCTTTCGTAACAGAAGAGGATTTCACATTATTATCTAATGAAAGACGTCCACAACTGACTGGGGAATAATGGCTCTGTGCCACCATATATGCAAAATATCTACTTTGCTGCTGATCTCACGCACTTTTTCTCCAAGGATTAAGGGGAGGTTGTAGGTTGTGTATGGTCTTATATTTGCAATGAAGGCATTAAAGGTGCTTTTCCTGAGACATAGTCCACCCATTTGATTGTATGCTACAGCTCTCTGCAAATAAAAAGAGCAGCTGTCTGAACTCTGGGTGTAACCTCAGCAGAAAATGGCTCAATAGCTTTCCATTTCAATTAATCTGTTAACATGCCTGTTCCAAAAATTGGAATTTACAGCTTAGATATCATGACTTATCTCTTTCTGGGAAGAGGACATCTAGTACATGAATCAAACCTCGATTTATACATGTGATGACTAATGCCAGCTAGATTTATTCTTTAAACAATATCCACACTGTTCAGACTGGAAACAATGCAAATTGATGGTAAAATCATCAAGAAAATGACTACTAAACTAGATGCAAGAAAAAGATGCAAGTAAAAGCTAGATTCCACTGCTCTCTGCAGGGCATGCGGAGAACTATTTGGCTGGCTATTATGTAGTAATTCAATGACAGCTTTTGATTAAATTAAAAATTGAAAAGGATATCAGAATTTCATCTCCGCATTCAATAATTGGCAACATGAGGTAGTGGACACTAGGAAGAACACATGCTTATTCATCATGACTACTGCTTAAAGAGCACTTTAAATAGGAGACAAATGTTTCCAGATTCTTTAATGCAATTCACAATCTACCTCTCTCCTCCAAATCATAGGAGTATGTAATCTACTTAAATCTGCAGCCCTCCATTCAGGTATATGGGAGAAATTTGGAGGAGTGAAAACCACCCTAGAAAGTTCTGCTTGTATTTAATACACACTGAAAGTTTGTTCTGAACTACTGACATTTTACAGATTAATTTCTTCCCCAAGTGACAAGACAGAAGATGTGGCCTGATATATTTTATGTGCAATTGTCTTTTAAGTTGCCTTACTACAGTAATAGTACTAACTAACATCAAACTATGCCCTGGGAACTGTAAAAGTTTATGCAAGTGTGCCTTTACTCACAGCTGAGTCCCTCATTCAGAAATTCTTCCCTCCTTCTTTGCTGTGTTTACTTGAGTAAAATAATATTTCATGCTGAATTCAATATAGTTGGATAACTCAAATGTGTGTGTTTGCATGTGCATATCTAAACACCCACAGATTACTACAGAGGGGAAAAAAGTATTTAGTCAGATACCAATTGTACAAGTTTTCCCACTTAAAAAGATGAGAGAGGCCTGTAATTGACATCATCATAGACTTCAACTATGAGAGACAACATGAGAAAACACACCCAGAAAATCACATTGTCTGATTTTTATCAAATTTGTTTGCAAATTATGGTGGAAAGTAAGTATTTGGTCATCTACAAACGAGCAAGATTTCTGAGTCTCACAGACAGGCTCCTCTGTCCTCCACTCATTACCTGTAGTAATGGCACCTCTTTGAACTTGTTATCAGAATAAAAGACACCTGTCCACAAGCTCAAGCAGTCACACTCCAAACTCCACTATGGTAAAGGCCAAAGAGCTGTCGAAGGCCACCAGAAACAAAATTGTGCCCTCTACCAGACTGGGAAGACTGAATCTGCAATAGGCAAGCAGCTTGGTGTGAAGAAATCAACTGTGGGAGCAATAATTAGAAAATGGAAGAGATACAAGATCACTGATAATCTCTCTCGATCTGGGGCTCCACACAAGATCTCACCCCATGGGGTCAAAATGATCACAAGAACGGTGAGCAAAAATCCCAGAACCATACGGGGGAAACCTAGTGAATGACCTGTAGAGAGCTGGGACCAACATAACAAAGGCTACCATCAGTGACACACTACGCCGCCAGGGACTCAGATCCTGCAGTGCCAGATGTATCCCCCTGCTTAAGCCAGTACATGTCCAGGGCCGACTGAAGTTTACTAGAGAGCATTTGGATGATCCAGAAGAGTATTGGGAGAATGTCATATGGTCAGATGAAACTAAAGTAGAACTGTTTGGCAGAAACACTACTCATTGTGTTTGGAGGAGAAAGAATGCTGAGTTGCATCCAAAGAACGCCGTAACTACTGTGAAGCATGGGGGTGGAAACATCATGCTTTGGGGCTGTTTCTCTGCAAAGGGACCAGGGTGAGTGATCTGTATACATGAAAGAATGAATGGGGCCATGTATCGTGAGATTTTGAGTGCAAACCTCTTTCCATCAGCTAGGGCACTGAAGATGAAACGTGGCTGGGTCTTTCAGCATGACCACCAGGGCAAGAAAGGAGTGGCTTCGTAAGAAGCATTTCAAGGTCCTGGATTTCAACCCTATATAAAACTTTTGGAGGGAGTTGAAAGTCTGTGCTGCCCAGCGACAGCCCCAAAACACCACTGCTCTTGAGGAGATCTGCATGGAGGAATGGGCCAACATACCAGCAACAGTGTGTGCCAACCTTGTGAGGACTTACAGAAAACATTTGACCTCTGTCATTGGATAAAGGATATATAACAAAGTAATGAGATGAACTTTTGTTATGGACCAAATACTTATTTTCCACCATAATTTGCAAATAAATTCATAAAAAATCAGACAATGTAATTTTCTGGATGTGTTTTCTCATGTTGCCTCTCATAGTGACCAGGGGAGCATTTGCACAGCGGTGACCAGGGGAGCATTTGCACAGCTTAGGCTCGTGCGCCAGCTGCGCCCGTACCTCGGGAAGTCTGACTTGGCCACGGTGGTACACGCTCTGGTCACATCCCGACTTGACTACTGCAACGCTCTCTACGTGGGGCTGCCCTTGAAGACGGCCCGGAAGCTTCAGCTAGTCCAGCGCGCGGCAGCCATGTTGTTAACGGGAGCAGGGCGCAGGGAGCATACAACGCCCCTGCTGTCCCAGCTCCACTGGCTGCCGATCTGCTACCGGGCCCAATTTAAGGTGCTGGTGCTATCCTACAAAGCCCTAAACGGTTCCGGCCCAAAATACCTTGCGGACCGCATCTCGGCCTACGAGCCCACGAGGACCTTGAGATCATCTGGGGAGGCCCTTCTCTCGGTCCCGCCTGCCTCACAGGCACGTTTGGCGGGGACGAGAGAGCGGGCCTTCTCGGTGGTGGCCCCCCGGCTTTGGAACTCCCTCCCTGCTGAAGTTAGACAGGCGCCTTCCCTTATGGCCTTTCGTAAGGGCCTGAAAACATGGCTCTTCGAGATGGCCTTCAATTGAGTGCTATGTTACTGGAATTGACGACCGGAATGGACTGCGATTATGAGACGGATTATGACCCTATGATATGACGAAGCGGATTTTTAGTATAGTAGTGTTATGTAGTAGTAGAATGTTGTGTATTGTTGTTTTATTGTAAGCCGTCTTTTCTATGTTGTTGTACACCGCCACGAGTCGCCCCAGGGCTGAGAGTGGCGGTCTATAAGTGCAATAAATAAATAAATAAATAAATAAATAATAGTTGAGGTCTACCTATGATGCCAATTACAGGCCTCACTCATCTTTTTAAGTGGCAGAACTTTTACAATTGGTATCTGACTAAATACCCCCCCCCCCCCCCCGCACTGTATATACATTTCAGGATATTTCAGTCCTGTGTGTGTTGAGAAATCTAGACTAAGCATCCACTGGTCAGTTGCCTAACAGTAACCTCCCTCTTCATTCAAGGACCAAATACATTGTTATTGTTTTTCTTTCATTCAAAGCACCTGTTCTTAAAGATAAATGCTTATCAGCTGTGTAAGACAGATTCAACGTGAACCTTCTTTAACAACACAATGTTTCTAATTTTAGTTCATGCTGATATGGGTAAATATATAGAGAAACAAGGGGGTGGCGGCATAGGATGCGTACTCAGAATAATAAGAAACATAACCACAGTGCTCAACTATTCAAAAACTGGTAAGCCATACTTTTCCAAGGATAAATTCTCTATAATATTGAGCCAAGGAGTGGAAATAACATTAGTCGTTTCTATCAACTACCAGTCTCATTCTGGATCTATTACACTGTATCCCACTCCCACAACTATAAATACTATTTCCTCTTTAATGTGTGGGTTTCACATACATACCCATAGTAGCAGAGAATATTACAATGCCCAACACATTCATGCCATCACTGGTGCCTGGCTCTGATTTGTAAATCACTTCTGGTGGTGGTGTGATATCCAAGGCAAAATTCTGGATGTTAGATCCATTTTCATCTTGGACCCCATAGATTATTATTCGGCGAGTGGTGCTGTCAGATACTGCCTTCTCAGCTTTGACAATAGGGATGCTTTTGGTTCGGTACTGAAAGTGCAAAAATCATCATTGTTAAATCTAAAAGAATGTCAAATTTTTCAAATGAGAAAAGAAAAACTACAAAGAGCCGCTATAATCACATTCCTAACTGTGAAATTTTACAAGAAAAGCATGCATAGTCTGTCACTGATTCATAGGAATTTCTGCACAATTCATGTGCTGCAGAATGAATTTTAAGTACAAAATCTATATCCCACTGTTTGGACTTTCAGTATTAGAGCACTGTACCACAATACTTAAGAAAATTTGATCTTCTACTGCCCTCAAGGCTACAAAGAATAATATTTGCATTTTTAAAACTTAACCAATTGCTTCTGAAGGAAATAAGGAAAACAACAATCACATTGTTCAAGCAAACAAAAATATAACAGTATGGAAACAATCGCTTTCTCCCCTTTCCTCCAATACTGTTATGGTAACATTTTGGTGAGGAATATTCCCACAATCCCCACACTGCCTCACATATTTGTTCTATGTAGCACATGTCTGCTTTCTATCCCCCTCTTTTATCCCATAACTGTGCAGTTTCAGTGCTGTTTGCAAATGGAGTGCGCTGTCACAATTGAATGCCGGTGAATGCCGGTGACCCTGCCCCCCCCCCCCATAGCAATGCAATTGCAGTTACAGCAAAAGAAAAACATGAGAATAAAATAAAACCCGGGGAATGGACTAAAGCCACATGACTTTATGATTCTTGGGGATATGGAGGAAAGAAGAGGAGAATCATGTCCATTCACAAAACATGAGTGCCAGTATATTGGAACTGCAGTAGAACAAAATCAACGCACCAGTAATAATAGCTGAATGACAGCAATATTGGAGCCATTGACAGGGTTTTCTCATCCAGAAAAAAATGCAGTCAAGTAATTATAGAAATGCAATCCCACAGATGGGGAGTTGTGTGATAAGGAAAGATCAAAATACAACTAGCCCTGTGCAATTATACAACCACTAGCTGTGCCCTGCCACGCGTTGCTGTGGCCTATAGTAAAACTTATCAAAGTTGAGGTAGATATCTGGACTATTATGAAAGAGAGGTACCTACCTATTCCTTCCCCCTTTTCCTCCCCTTTCTCTCCTTTCTTCCTTCTCTACCTCTTTCTTTCTTTCCTTCTTTCTCATCCTTCTCTCTTTCCTTCATTCCCTCCCCCTTCCTTCCTTTGCTTTTCTTCCCTCCCTGTTTGCTTCCTTCTTTCTCTTTTTATTTCCTTTTATTTCACCACCATCATAACAATAACAATAATGCAATGCATTGCCTCTGGGACCTGACACCTCTCCCATTCCCCCTAAAAGGGTCTCATAGGAATAATAGCATCATAATAATCATAGAAATAACAACCTTTACCCGCCACGCGTTGCTGTGGCCAACCTTCCCTCTTTCTCTCCTTCTTTCCCTCCTTCCTTCCTTCCCTCCCCTCTTTCCTTCTCCTCTCCTTCCTTCCTTCCCCCTTTCTTTCTCTTCTGGTCTCTTTTCTTCCTTCTCTCTTTCCTTCTTTCCTTCCTCCTCTTTCTCTACATCTTCCCCCTTCCTTCACTCCCTCTTTCCTTCCTTCATTCCCTTTTTTCTTTCCTTCTCTCCTTCCTTCCTTCCCCCTTTTTCTTTCCCTCCCTCTGTCTCTCATTTCTTCCTTCTCTACCTCTTTCCTTCCTTCCCCCTTTTTCTTTCTCTTCTGCTGTCTCTCTTTTCTTTCCTTCCATCTTTCCTTTTCCTTCCTTCTTCCTTCTTTCTCTAACTTTCCTTCCCCCTTTTTCTTTACCTCCCTTTCTCTTTCTTCCTTCTTTCCTTCCTTCCTGTCTTTCCTGGATTTTGACAGGGCGGGAAGGGGCGGGGTGGGGTTTGGAGGTGGCGTGAAGTAAAAGGAGGTAAGATTGGGGCAGGCGAGTGATGGAGCGTGAGGTTGTGTGTGTGTGTGCGGCAGCGGGGGAGTGATGGAGCATGGGGTTGCGTGTGTGTGTGCGGCAGCGGGGGGGAGTGGGGTTGCGCATGTGTGTGTGGCGGTGGGGGGAGTGATGGAGCGTGGGGTTGCGTGTGTGTGCGGCGGCAGCGGGGGGAGTGGGGTTGCGTGTGTGTGTGCGGTGGGGGGAGTGATGGAGTGTGGGGTTGTGTGTGTGCGTGCGGTGGGGGGTGTGTGCGGGAAGCGGCGCGGCGGGGCTTGGAGTGGGCATGGCTTCCGCAGAGGGAACTGTGTGCGCGCCAGGGAACTTGCGGCTGGGCACCAATGCGCATGCTCAGTTGTTTTGCCGTTTTGTGAGTGTGTTGTTGTGTTGTTTTTCATTTTGAGTAGATATGTTTGTACCTTATGGGTTGTGTTATGGGCATGGGAATTTTGGTTAAGTTTCGTTGGGGGGTTTTTGAGTTTTGTTGTTTTGCCGTTTTGTGAGTGTGTTGTTGTGTTGTTTTTCATTTTGAGTAGATATGTTTGTACCTTGTGGGTTGTGTTATGGGCATGGGAATTTTGGTTAAGTTTCGTTGGGGTTTTTTCAGTTTTGTTGTTTTGCCGTTTTGTGAGTGTGTTGTTGTGTTGTTTTTCATTTTGAGTAGATATGTTTGTACCTTGTGGGTTGTGTTATGGGCATGGCAATTTTGGTTAAGTTTCGTTGGTTTTTTGAGTTTTGTTGTTTTGCCGTTTTGTGAGTGTGTTGTTGTGTTGTTTTTCATTTTGAGTAGATATGTTTGTACCTTGTGGGTTGTGTTATGGGCATGGCAATTTTGGTACAGTTTCGTTGGGGGGTTGTGGAGTTTTGCTGTCCGGTTGAACCAACCTAACAGATTTATATATATAGATAGTTAATGGTATGTCACATAGGGACATAGGTCATTTGATAGTCCATAGATTTCCAGGAGGTCCTTGATAAGCAACAACATAGGTTATCTTGTTTTATCTACTTATTAACATTGTTCATATGAAGGATATTTCTCTAGCACCCAAGTTAAGAGAGATGTAGGGACTTACCTGTTTAAAAGTGGCCTCAACAAGGTTTGCAGGGAACATATTCCTGAAAAGAGATGAAAATTACAATTTTCAATGATGGGGCATCGTACTTGTATGCTTGCCTTCTTGCATTGATGTGGAGATATTGGAAATATAGATATTTATACATATATTGTATGTACATTAGAAGCACTGAAATGTAAGAAACATCAGGTCCTCTCTGTATTAGGAAGCCAAGCTGACAGGACAAAAAGGATGCTGAAGGATCTGTGTCCAAGGCACAGGCAAGGGGGGGGGGGTGAACATTCCAGTGGGGGAGATAAGAACAGCCTGGCACTGTCACAGACAGACAGAGGTAAAAAGTAAGAAGTGGTCCTCTGTCCCTCCCTCCTGACAGGTCAAAATAGGCCCCTTGATGAATCTGTGTAAACTGAATCGTAGTATCTCTAACTTGCTGTAAGCTGAATGCTGAAATATGCCTTATGCATGTAGAAAGATATAATTTGATATTTCTATGATGCTAAAGTGACGTGATGATGTTAAGGTACAGTATGTAGGAGCATGTTTCTTTGTTTGCCTGCATTTGAAGATGTATAAAAAGGAAAGTCAACGCCTTAATCCGGACTCTGGTTTACTTTTGGAGGAGATTCCACACCAGTCTCAGCCGAAAATAAAACAATACTTTTCTGCCTCAACAAAGGATCGCTCTTGGTATTATCTCTCCTATCAGCCACAACAGTATTTCTATGACATTTGACTAATAAATGAGATTCAGCTGTTTCACCAGATCAATTATATCCAGTCTTTCTAAGTTCTTAAAGTAACAAGCACTTTGGCAAGATAAAAATGAAACTATGGGCCCTTTTACACTGCCACAAAATGTGGCTTGAACTGGCATTGAAAATGCTGGTTCAGAGCTGCATAGAGGCAACATGTGGCTGCTGTATTCCAGTGCAGTGGCAGCACACAGTCCAGTTGTGATAATGCTGGTTCAGTACGGCTTCCTGACCCTCCTTGTATTCTCTTATTGCATTGTTACTGACCAAAAGCTTGGTCCCACATTCACGTCTTTAGCTTTTCCCTGGAGGTCAGGAGGAAAGGGGCTGATCTGATTTCAGTCAGGAGGGAGTTCCATAGCCGAGGGGCCACCACTGAGAAGGCCCTGTCTCTTGTCCCCATCAACCACACCTGTGAAGGAAGTGGGACCAAGAGCAGGGCCTCCTCAGACAATCTTAACCTCCTTGCTTGCTCATAGAGGGAGACACATTCGGACAGGTAAACTGTGCTGGAACTGTTTAGGGCTTTATAGACTAAAGTCAGCACTTTTAATCTTAAACTATTTAAGCAGAATTCACCATACATGCAACAGATCCATTATAAAGTATTTTCCTCTGTAATTTTTCTACCATTAAATAATTGCAGATGCTTGGAAACTGGCTCAGGTCCTGGCACCCTGTGCAAACGTTTTGCGACAGAGCTTTAGTTTATTTAGGTCATAGTGCATGATAATCACATGACTACATGAAATCATATTTTGCATGTGTGAATCTGAGATCAAATACTTCAATATATTAATACAATGGGAGTGGAGGGAAGAGTACAGTTCACTACGGGCTCCATAGACATTAAAAGAAATTATTTTATCGTCCTCAAATGCTATTTAGGAGGCGAGGGGTGATTTTTGCCATTGTTTTAATTCCTCCTATTGTTTTAGGAGCTTCGTTTTGTAACAGTCAATAACTCAACTATTTTTGTAGCCCATGCAAGCCCCAAAACATGGTGAAATTGACCTGAGGGCACAAAGCATGGTAAAATGTTCCCCGTGTTCCCTAAAGGGCATCTGAGTTAAAAAAATAATTTGACCTTTTCATTTTGCAAGGAGATATCCTGGAGGGTGAATGTGGCCCACCAATCACCCAGAGTTGTTTATTTTTCAATGAATATGACCTCAGGCAGTGTTTGCATGTAAGAGTAATACAGTTGCAAAAACTAGATTTTTGCCCCAGAGATAATATGTCCAAATGCTAGAAAAAAATGTTTTCCAGCAACAGAAGGACCACTTTGTTAAAATGTTTTGTTTCTCTCCACCACCAAAAGAACAGCAACAGTTTTATAAAGCAGTAAAAAGATCATTGAGAAAGACATGTGCACATCTGGCCACATGTTTTCTAAATGGAGAATTTCCTTTCATTTGTCTTTCAAAAATATTGTCGGCACTCCCATAGAATTTATTTATCAGAGCAAAAATTTCATTTACTAATTTATGTGATTTTTAGATGAAAGGTGGTGCAGACAGGCAAAGGATTAGTGTGCTGATTAAATTATAGCTTAGTCCCTGATGGATAATTAATCAGGAGTTCCAGATTCCCATTGAGGATTTTTCTTCAACCTGGATTGAAGAGGAGTTGTGCACGTGGGCCATGGCTGCTTTCGGAGCAGGGAATGAATTGAACGGGGCCTTGCATTCCTGCAACAATAATTGGCAGCATTAAAATGCAACTAGGACTACTTGGGAGAAGAAATATCAGATGGTCAGTAGCTAGATTTAATGTTAGCCAAATTTGTGGAGGATTACAGCTTTTTGTTTCTTTATCATTCTTTATCCAGCAGGAATTACAATGCTCCTCTTAATACAGGAGGCTGGAATTCTTCCAAAATATTTTAAGTAGATTGTTCTTGTCATTTTACATAGTGAACCATTCTTTGAGAGTAGCTTTGTTGAAGTGACCAAAATGATCTGGTAAGAGGATGCCAGATTATACTTGCAAAATTTCTATTTTCTCTGTGTGTGAAAGATGGGGAGAAAGGAGGAGGAGGAAAGGAAAGGAAAGGAAGGACTAATTTCCAGATTTCTCAGAAAGCACAGCTAGTAGGAGATTCTCATCCTTGCATCTATATTTGACACATTACAAGAACTTGTTATAGGCAGCAGAAAGGGATGTGTGTTTGTATGCTATTTAAGAAGGCCCCTACATGTTTCTCCTAACTTTAGAAGGAACATGTAGTCACCGTCTTAACTACTTTAAATATCTGAGTATTGAGATTATGCTTATGTTTGTCTAGATACATACACCTGAATTGAGTAACTATCTAATTTTCTTGGTAGGGCAACAAATTGCCTCCCTAATCCTTAACATACCTGCCTAGTCAAAAAATGCATCCTTTTTAGAGTAATTGACAGGGTGTTTAGGTTATTTACTTATTTATTTCTGAATTACCCTGCTTTTAATTTTTTATGTTGCTATGAGAGCATTTGTGTAAGTTACCTCATAAATTGTTGCAAATACCTTTTCTGTGCCCCCTCTAAGAATATCAGAGAAGCCAACAATTTCCTTATATAATCAGTATTACAGGATTCTGCATCCATGGATTCAACCACTCACAGCTTGAAATATTCCATAAAAAATTCAAAAATATAAAAACACAATGTTACCGCACCATTGTATATTAATGGGGGCATTTCCAGACAGCATCAAAATGCAGGTTTTCAAAGAAGAATAAACAAACTCTGGACCTGCCTGCAGGTCCCCACACTGACCAGCAGGTTCTGGGCTGCCTTCCCCTGCTGTCCTCACAGCCTTCTTTTTGTCTCGGAAAAAAAAAATGAAAGGTGAACGGGGGACAACTGCAGGAAGTTTTTTTAAAAAAAACAATATTTTGTTATGTGCTGATCCTTATATGCGCACGTGCAAACTCCTTAATATAGAATGTGAAGAGATTCCCATGTGAACAAAATGATGATCAGTGCTTAACAGAGGGCACCAGAAGTTTTTCTTTCCCCAATTGTGTTTTCATGCTGTTTTTAAGTTTAAAAACTTTTAAATTAAAGATTTTCAGACAGCTCCAATGACTATCCTTCCTGCTCCGTTTAAGCCAGCTGGAAATCAGCTGTGTCTCTGTGACAACCCAAACAGCTGATTAGTTGTTTCAGGCTTCTTTAAAACAGACTTGCAGTCTCCAGGGGGGCGGAGGAGGGGGAGAGGAAATCTCACATTTTGCAAATGCACATTTCCAGCCAGAACCGGGATAAAAAAAGGACTTCTTTATCTAATGCTTTGGCTTCGTTCCTCCGATTCAGTGTGGATTTACCGGTAATGTCATCTAGCTACGCCCTTTTAACCCGTTCTCTCCTGTTTCTTTTGTGCTATGTGGAAGGGCCCTGATTCTTGAGTATCCATGGATTTTGGTATCCACAGGGGTCCTGGAACCAAACTCCAGTGGATACGATGGACTCACTAGACTGCTATGAATCCTAATATCAGAGGTTACTGCAGTCACTAATTATTGCTATGGCTTGCAGTGAACTGCACTTGAATACCAATATAGGTTTAAAATAGGAGACAACTTCAAGATGTTACTCTGAACAGATGAGAAGAACATTGAATATTTAAGAAGTAAAAAGATGCTATAAAGCTATTTTTTTCATACAACCATTGTAAAGAAGAATAGAAGTGTAACTTTTTTCTTTTTTTCTTTTCACACCCTTCACTTCTTTCAGACCCTACAAGCCCTTTCCCTCCCCTCCCCCTTCCCTCAATTTTTTCAATTTTTACTGTTTTTAATGTATTACTGTTAAAACCTCAATAAAAACTTTAAAAAATAGGATAGTATATCCTCTGTTCAGATATCAGTCACCATGCCAATGTCTTAAATCAAGAAACAGCTTCCTAAGATCAACAGAGATACTCGCAGGAACACTCAGTAAGTGAGAATCCAAAAGTGGCAGTTTAAAATCCAGCACCTCAATCAGTGGCTGAGACCAGATGAGAAACTCCCTCCTGGGCACACAGAAGATTGGTCAACCTGAAAGGCGCTGAACATGCTGTGCTCTAGGACCACAAGATGCAGAGCTAACTTTAAGAAATGGGGCTAGAAAGTGGATTCCACAACATGCAAGTGCAGAGAAGAGCAAACCACAGACCACCTATTACAATGCAACCTGAGCCCTGCCACATACGTTATGGAGGATCTTCTCACAGCGACACCAGAGGCACTTCAAATAGCCAGCTTCTGGTCAAAGACATTTAGCATATTGCCAAGTTTTAAACTTTGTATTTATAAATA